GCCCTGGCTCTATGCAGCTCTGTTCTGCTGTAGCTTTAATTTGGGTAGTCCCCCGTGCCCCTTAGAAGTCTAACATTAATCACTTCTTCTCTTGGTCATTCTCAAGTTTCTTCCTTGAARGGAGCATTACTCAGTAGTTTTATCTCCCAATTTTCTGTTTATTTTTGAGAGAAGTTTTGTAAAGGTTCCTTAAATAATGTTTAGTCTGTTTGCAAAGTCTTATATCAACATGCTTTTGCATTTGCCGTGTCATGTGGGGAGACATAACACACAGGGAGTTTCTTTAACTGTGAAAAGCAATATGGCTCTTGGCAGCTTTGCCTTCCCTTTTGTCTCTTTCTAAGCTGGAAAGTGGATTTATTTTGTTAAAGCCAAGAGACATTTAGAGTTACTTAAGGCCTGAGTGGGAGCTGCTGACTGTTGTACCCTCCCTGTAGCATTCCCACTGCTGGAACAGGAGCACTTTGCAAAATTAGGTAATTAGYGCTTCCTTATTAAAGTTATTAATGCCTCTGATCTATGTTGTATTAAAGACAATCCTGAATATTAACTTTATGACCTAAAAGGATTTCCTCTCATAAGTCATCTGTTAATTTTTTTTAGGTCCCAAAAATAYGCATTTGTATTTTGTATTCTTCCTATAGATAACCATTTCTATTTGACAATTTTTTTAAAATTCAACTAAAAAGAGGGACAGGCAGCCACAAAAGAGTTTGTCAGAGCTTACGTGAAGGAAGAACATTTGAAGTTCAGAGTTTAAGTTTTGCTGCAACAAAGCGGCTTTGAGTAAGACACAAATATTTTCCTCAGTTTGCAACAAGATTAGAGTGATTCAGGGCACATAYTCCCCTTCACAATATATGGTCCATGAGGGAGCATTTTAATAAAACTGCAAGAAAAAAAGTGTGAGAGGTCTTGTGTCTGCCTGAATTTGTGTTTATAATAATGATTGCTAATTCACAGCTGTGTTAAATGCTGTAGGTCAGGCTAGATGAATTTTCATTCAGAAGAGCTTTTGCCTACAGTGAACATTTTGGCTTTGTATCCTCTGGTCTGTGTATATTTTTTTTGCCTTCTTTTTATTTTTCTTCTTTTTTTTTCCTATTCTTTCCTTTTCCTTTCTCTTCTTCCAGTAAGATAAGTAATAATGACCTCTTTGGCCCCAGGTCTTGATGCTGTGRTGAGGAGTGCTCTTCACAAATCCAGAGACCTAGACATTTTCTTGTTGTGTATTTTCWTCTCTTCTTCTCTTTCTGGAATGAGAATGTAATAACATAGCTTGTTTAGCTTTTACTGGTTTTAACAGCAGGCATAAGAAAGCTTTTCTTAACATTTTTATATTAACAGTCCATCCTTAATAGCCTTGCATTCTCTACAAGACTAAAAATAGTAGAATTAGCATCCCTCTGGATTGTATTTGTGGAATTGAACAAATGGTTGATATTACAGCTGGTAGCATATGACACCAGCACTAAAATGCTGGCATATATTAGCTATAACCCCATTTTGCAAGTGATTATTATGCTTTCATTAAGTGTTCACATTCTCTTTTCTGTTAAAATCTCTTAYCACCTTTGATTCAATGCTGGAAGTTTTTCAGCCTTTTTCTTGCTTATCCATTTTTAAAACACAACCTACAGCAATAAGACCTAAAAATTCCTGAGGCCTGAAGGTACTGTCACCCTTCAAACAGCATCAAAGCAACGAAATTATCCAAAGGCTCTGCCCAAGCCTTCCCACCAGCTGGGTTGGCCAGTCGTGCTGCCATTTGCAATTCCAATATGTGTTCACTGAAAGGGAACATTTACTTTAAGTGTTATTGCCAGGGATATACAGAAACAAAAATAAGTTTTGTAGACAAACTGTACCTAAACAAATCCCTTTTCAAATTGTATGAATGTTTGAGGAATACTTCTTAATGCTCTCTTTTCCTCTGGCTGCTTTGCAGGTTTGTGCACCCTGAAAGTAACCTGCTTACCTCAGTTTTCGTTTATGCACATGTAGAAAATTACCAATGGAGATTACTAGATACTAAAATCTGTGCATTTACATTTGCAGTCCACATTAAAAGGAGTATTGSTGCACCCAAACACCAGCTGAGCTACAGTGTTTGATGGCAGCAGTGAAGCTTTGAGTTTAAGAATCTTCAGAAGGCAAATGTTCTCAACATTTGRTGTGAGGTGTGGTCCCCACCGAGGGCAGATGTGTGTGGTTGAGTRGGCTGGCCACCACAGGGTGTAACCACTGAGTGAGCACTAACTCAGCTGTGTCAGTGCTTTTTCTTTGCCTGTCCTTTTCTAAATGTGACTCAAGACCCCAAACCTTCASCATTTGTGCTTTAAGAAGTCAGTGCCTCACAAGGAGTCAGCTGACTATATTCCTGCCTGTTTAATTATGACCTCTTTGAACAGAGCTTTCTGGCAGCTTGGACTGCTAGATTTGACCATTTCATGCAGCAAACCCTTGCACACAGAATGGCTGTGTTTGGGACAAAGGAATCACATATGTGTGTACACTCTATGCCATGGCTTGTAATTCAGCTGAAGTATGCACTCATAACCAGTGGGAAATACAGAAATGACAAGTTTTGGCTAATTATTGTTGATTTGATTAGTTTTAAAGAGATTGCAAGCAACATTTTCAGTTTTATGGACACTGGCTTTTCTTGTGGACAAATGGCTGTGGATCTTCTATTCAGGTTGTGAGGCTGCTGTTCATGCATCTGCAAATTTTAGCCCAATGAGCAATGCTGGCCAAACTCTGCTAGACCAAGCCTCCAAACAAGGTGTTTTAGCATGTGGAGGTATTTTACTACCAGGGTTACCTTAGAATCCCGTCTGCAGGACTAAGCTGTGCACGTCCATATGATTTCCCTGTAATCCCTTGAATAAAAATGTGCATTTATTGTAGGGCCTCAAAGAGCTCAGTCAGAGCTGAAGGTTTCCAACCTGCTGGATGATGTGCAGACCTACAATCACTCTTTTGGTCTCTCAGCATCACCCCATCCTTCCCCTTAATTTTTCCTTCAGTCTTTTTTTAAGCCATACCTTCCTTTGACTGTAAATGGAGTTTGCAGACTTCATGGCAGCTGGGCAGGATGGGATATCAAGCTGAATACACAAAACAGATAAAAGCACAGACTTGATAGGGACCCTCTTTTCCCATCATCTCTCCTAGTTTATTTCCATATATCTTCACATGGAGCACTGTTCATTTTTGCCCTTCCAAGAGTGATTTCTGATGTTGTATCCAGCCATATAGCCATGAGTTTTCATGCTACCACAGGGATGGAGYTCTAGCTTTTGAATTTTAGTACAGTGGTGCTACTGTTTCTGCTAAGAAATTTCTCTTGCAACATGTACTGAGAGGTCAAAAGTTAAAATAAATTTAAAATATGCTCAAGGGAAAATTCACCACACGTACTTGACTGTCAGGGTTGAGGATTTTTTCCCCCTTTTCTTAGTGCTGAAGCATATTAGAGATTTTTATGGTTTTGAGTGTGATCCAGCATTGATACTGTAGCTTTGGAGGAGTGCCAGCAGGGACGCTTACAGAATRTCAAATTTTATACCATCTTATGTAATGTTTATGCGGGTGGGATATGACATATTGAAATTCAATTTATCGAAATTATTGACATTATATTCATACTGCCCTGTTGCCAGTGGGGCTRAAATGGCTATGTTTTGTGGTGTTCCTGCTTGTACAGACATAGACACTCGGGGAAGATAGGTTTGCATTAGTGTCTTTGTCCTCTCATGCACCTATTTTCACTAGTGAACTGGTGCCATTATGCTAAATGCCTACACCATGCAGCCGTAGGCAAGTAAATAAATAAGGGAAAGGGTCTGAGTTCTTAAAAACAAGGAAAAATTATTCAGGTTTGCATTATTGCTTAAGGAACCTTCCTCTAGGCAGGGTTGAGTTTCTTTTCACAAAAGGCAGTATCTATTTCTCTCATTAATCCTTTCATTGCAAAACTCATGTTACAACAATGCACAGAAACCACTCTACATGAGTTATGTCTTTCTGATTTTATCAGTCTAATTCAATCAGTGTGGATCTGAATAAAGCTACCCTGTACAATACAGATTTTTTCCCGTCTAAGACACAGAAAAAAAGACATGTGTACTCTGAGGTCATTCTGTTGCCAAGTGAGAGGTTGGTGGTACCAATACCACCATGTTTGGGGAAGGTTGTGTAAGAGGACCAACTCTTCCAGACAAAGTACTGGTTACAGTAAAACCAGTAAAAAATCTGTGTCAACACCAAAATATAAGTGAAWATAAATGTAGATTTATCTGTTTGAAAAGTCTTTATTGTATTGCTGATAGTTTTCAAGAATGGTTAGAGAAGGCTTCCCTGTGTGTTTTACTGATCCTTCTGTATGTGATTCATTTTGCTCTTACAGCACACGCAGCAGGGAAATGATGATAACCAAATTTGTTAATGTTTAGAGGAAAAACATGCCTGATGCTTAAGGGAGCATTCAGATTTCKTAGGGCAGTTCTGACATCTTCCTTTTCTTTTGTTTTTCTCTACAGAGGATTCTCAGGTGTTTGTGACACAYCTGTTTTTAACATCATTGCCTAACATGTTTGGAAARTACTGAAAAAATATTGCAGTTTTTTTCTTTAAAATTTCAAAAATCCTTTATGGAATTCAGCTTTTTCATTWACAGGATTATAAATGTTAAAAAAATATTTAGGCAATTTTGTAGCTGAAATAGACTGAAGAATTTTTACACATGCTTTATTTGTCCTTCAGAAATTCAGGAATTTAAAAAGCCTAACCTAATTGTTTTTCTTAAGCTCATCATAGAATCTATAATCAATTTAGCAAGAGGACACATAGCCAATGCTTTGAAAGATCCATACATAAATATTGCCATGTCATTCTGCTGGTTGGGATTATGTTACTTGCTGAATGATTGCTGCTCATTTTTTGCCARTATAATCAATAAAAGTGACACTGAGAAATCCAATCTTCCTTTTCTGCAGGCCAGCTTTGGGTGGTCTCCTTACATCATCTTTTCGGCAGCACCAGGAGTCCTTGGCAGCAGAAAGAGAGAGACGGCGTCAGGAGAGAGAAGAAAGGTTGCAAAGGATAGAACGTGAAGAAAGAAACAAATTCAAGTAGGACACAAATTGCTCTCTGTCTCTTGCTTTAATGTGTGATAAATTAGTCAATCATTGAGGCATTCAACTGCAAAATAATTGAATTGATGAATAGTTTGTCTCTTTAGGTACTTCTCTTGATCTAAGTATCTTAGAAACTGATGGATTAAACATATCATGAATTTTGGCATTTRATAAACAAGCAATTTTTTAAAAATGCAGCCATTATCCTGCCTGGGTATCTACAGAGATAGATTTTATTAGCTAATATACTCACCAAATTAATCTCAGWGAGGCATAGGGTTTAAAGGTGAAACAGTGGGACAAAGGTATCAAGAAGGGAGGAAGGGACAGCACTGAAACRTCTTTTTGCTTTTATACAAAATAAAAGTGTTTTGCTGTATGGTAGTGGTTTTTAACTACCTTTCTGTGCTTTTCTGAATGTGTATCCCTTCCTCCTGGAAACAGGTGACAGCAAGTAATTACCAAAATTACTGTTCAAATCTTGGCCTGACAAATTTCATAGCTGAACATGGGGCTTTGCATTTTCACATCTGAGAAAATGTTGTGTAATGTGGGATCCAAGGGTGCGCTGCCTTAGGATAGTAAGAGACAAGCCCCCTGACCCTTTTAAATCCATGCCTGGAAATCCCAGCACAGACTTTTTATAATAAAGACTTCAGTGGGCCAAGGACAGATATGGAATCTATACCTGAAATTGTTTGCCTACAGTCTGAGGAGTGTACACCAAGAAATCAATTTCCTCATAGACAGGAGTGAAATGTAAACATATTTTTAGTCGTTAGAAGACATAATGTAATAACTTAAAGAATGGTAATATACRTGTTTTGTAGCCTTGGAATTGGTAGTTGTGGAAAAAAGATGGCACGGGTTTTCATGTGAGCTTGTTTATTAGTATGCAGGATTGTTTTCACTGTAATCATCTCTTTAGTAAGAAGTGGAAACAGGCTGTGATTCTGTGAATTTGGAAAGAGGAGTAACTTACAAGTGGTTGATTGATATTCTCCTGGCTCCAGAAGATAGCTAGTTTAGAAGGAAATGAGAGGCAGAGGGAAGGTGGAAGAGCACCATAATAGGATCTTTGGCAGCCAACAGCTGCCCAAGTTCTCCTGAAACAGAAACAATAAGGTCTCAGTCTTCCAGCCTCTTCCAAAAACTCTCCCTCTAAGTGGTATCATCAGGCTGCAGCAGGCTGCCATGGACAGCCAACATGATCTTTCAGAAAGGAAACTCCCAGACCGAAAAAGCCAACAGGGCATTTGGCAGATTGACCTGTTTGAATAACAGATCTGKACATTTCAGTAGAGGTTGGCTACAGTAATTGTTCTGTCACTGAAAGAGGTTTCTTAAAGTCAGTCATGAAAATATATATTTTCATGCCTTTATTTCAGAGTCAGAAACTGATTAAATACCATGACTGTCTTACATATTTAATATGATTTTTTCAGTGCCCAGTGTTTTCATATTTTGGATTTGAGTTCTGTGATCACCCAAAAGTTATAACTTTTGTTTAAGCAGAGGGTCTCCAAAGCCRCTAGACTTCACAGACAGACAGCATCCCACAGTTGATTAAAGAGTCTGGCAGGAGGAGGACAAAGTCACAGCAAGCCATGGACAGTTTCATAAGAGTTCCTGGGATTGCATTATCATATCATCAGTCTGGCTAGAAACCCAGTCTCTGAAGATGTCTTTTTGATTAAAAATAGCACTTGCAATTTAGTCTTTAAACTCGTGAGCAGTACTGGATTTACCATCATGAGTCATTTGTTATCTCATTCTTTCCAACTCTGCTTCAAGAACATTGCACTAGGTTCTGGCACCATTATTGACAAATTGAGGATAATTTAAAGGAGAGCATCACTAGTTGTGAAAGAGCTGGACGATAGGAGAGCTGGAGGATTAGGAGAGGAGCTACAAAGCTTCATAAGCTATTGCTAAATAAAGGAATGTTTTACAGAATGGACATTTTTCTCAGTAGGACTATTGTACCTAYTGCATATGTAGAATAATATATCCTAAAATGCAGTGGTTATTCTTCAGCTTAGGGAGGAGTGAAAGTTGTCAGAGGGGAAARAGATCTGCTGAAGATTTCCTAGAATGCTCTTAAAATACTGTAAAAGTAAAACCAGTTCAGAATTCAAAGCTTGTGGAGATGGCCTGAAACATTAATGTCTGTTTCCTGTTAAAGGACTTTTGAATAGCATTTGCAAGCAGGTGTTTGATAGCTATTGGTATAATAGATGATAAATAATTCATTTAATGACACCATAGAAAGAGATAGAATAGTTAATTAAGTGAAATTAATTAAAAGAGTAGTTCTGAAAATCTTTCTGGTACTCAGGTTAYGTTGTGAAAAGAATCTGGCAGACAAGGTGAAGGTCTCATCAGTTTTGTCTACMAGATTCAACAGAAGACTAAAAATAYATTGYAAGGAACYATCTTGGTGTGATRTTGAGACAGGCTGGACATTCACTGGTTTCTGCTGTGCCCTGAGTTAAATTTGCATCCATGTTTGTGGATGTGGCAGGCCTGTCTGAAAACATAGTACTCAGGCATCCAGCAAAGTTGACTTGACAAAAGCTAAATATATGGGTTACTTGAGGAGCTGTGGGAGTGGCAACTGAGATAGAAGGAGTTTTGGATCTAAAACTCAGGGTGAAAAATAAGGAAATGAAAGTGTGTTATCTGTCCAGTGATCCTGCACGCACCCTCTAGGAATGCAGAATTGTCCTCTTCAGTAAAGCCAGTCTGCAGTCTTGTTTCCAGCCATGGCAACTAAAACTCTCTGAAGGAAAGGTGCCTTGGAAAGGAGGCCAGTAGGTTTGTTCACTGCCTCGGTCTSTCCTGCCAGGGGCTGCAGTGACTGTCCTGGGGCATTCTGAGATGGAGGAAATGAGAGATGGTTTCATAGTCACTCATKTGCCTGCTCACTATGAAGTCCAGGTCATTGTACCTCATTTCAGACACCAGCTTTCATAGCGTGCTGCAAGTTTTTAACTTTTTGCAGATTTCTTTATCATTTTAATGACCTTCGAAWCTACATATTTGGTGGTGTATGCAAGGATAAGTGTACACTTTTCAGCAATTTTTGTAAAAACAAACAATTTTTGTCGACAACAGCTTTCATTGTCTCTGACTGGTCTGTTTGTACCACTCTTAGTTTCTCCTACTGTGCTTGTACTTCTACTACTTACCTTTCTCTTCTAGTTTCTGCTACAGTTTATTGTAATTCTCTTTTTAGCCGTGATTATTTAGACAAAAGAGAAGAGCTAAGACAAGCAAGAGAAGAGAGGTTTGTATAYCATGCATCCATCCTTCCCTCTGGCTGTTTGCACTTCCTATATKCTTTACTGCAGAGCTGTCATATGTTTGCATTTTTAACTCTGCTTGCGCAAAACACTTTTATTCCAAAAGGCTAATGTAAGAAAGAAGTTGTTAAATTAAAGAGGAGAATGAAGTCCAGCTGTAAGCACAGCAATAAATGAACAGCAGTGAGAATGCTCAAGAATGATTGAYGATCTTTTATCTATTTGTGTGGGAAATAAGCTTACCCCATTTGCCTCAGAAATTTGCCCAAATTTAGTAGAGTTATAGATTGAATAYGCTTGTCTTTTTCACCCAGTGGGTTCCAAGCTTTCTGGAGGGTCAGAAAAGGCAACTGAGGATAAAGGAAATTGGGGTCACAAGAATTGCAAAACTGCAGTGACAGGCTTATGGAAACGGTTCTGACCCACTCTCAGCATATTTTTGTCTTTCAGAGCCAAGTTTTCTTTGCCGATCTCTCTAAACATCAGCAAGTAAATTACAAAGCTTAGCAGTGTTTATCATTGTGGCATTGTTTTASTTTTATTTAAATAGCATATTTAAAGTGACTGAGGGTTTGGGTTCTTTTTCCTTTTTTTTTAATTCAATGAAATTGCTTAGAAGCCCTGGGCTAAGCTGGGAGGTATGTGCTTAAGAAAGCATATTTTTCAAAGCATACTCAACTAAAGACCTTTGCCTTTCAGTAGCTTCATCTCTACTGCTGCTAGTAATTCCATCCTGGAGGGAGCACTTGTTTTTACCTGGAAAATATGCAAGTTACTGTACAAATAGATGAAAAATCATCCAGAGTGCTTCAGTTCTGCTTTTATGGTCCTCTAGAGATTACCCTCTGGAGATACTTTTGGATTGTCAAGAACTAGAATAACATTATCAAAATAAGAGAGCAGCCATCTCAGAAATCATTGTGTGGCTGTGTTTTTACTTGTTTTTTGGTTTTTTTGTTGGTTTTTTTTTTTGTTGTTGTTGTTGCTCTTTTGTTTTTGGGGTTTTTTTTCACAAAATCATCATACAGGAGACAGTTTGTTTCTGCAGACTGATGTCTTAGCTGTTGTGGCTGAAATAGCCAATATTAAAAAATCATTTTAACATCTGTAAGAGTAAGAAAAGGTGAATGGGCTTTCCTTTGTCCTTCCAGTCAAAACAATTACAATTTTTAAGCATTTTCTGAAATTAAGTGCATCTGAGCACATAAGCWTCATACACTGATCTGAGCTGAGTAAAACCTTTTTCAGTAAGCATGCTCATTTGCAAGTTTTGAAGCAAAAGTGAGTTCTCCAGGACTCTCAAGTTGTAAGGGAAAATGCCAACAGGAGTATTTCTGGGGAAGTGTTCACAATCACTGCTGTGCAATCTGAGACTATKTCACTGTTCATTAGGATTTTTTTTTTTAGGGCTCTTTTGAACTGAGATGTTAAACTATCRGTTCTTACATGTAATGAGGAAAGATGTTTTCTATTGCAGCACATYAATATTGGAGAAAACTTCTGCAAATGCAGTCTCCCATCAGTAGTCCATTACATTAGCATTCTGTAACTACTTTTTTAACACCTTTGCACAAAGGCACTTTTATTTCCTATAGGAAGTTGCATGTTGACTTGTTTTAGGAGAGTGAATAGACTAAAAAAATCCTATAGTCAAGATGCCTAAAATCCTGGTTAAAAACTGATTTGTATRTTTCCTCCATATCAGTTCTTGCTGGGCTATGATTTGACACCTTTTTTCTTTGCTTGGTTGGGTGGTTTCCAGTGGTAATTAAAGAATAAAACCATGAAAGGTGAGCTCCCAAGCCYTCTCTGATGTGAGGTACAGCTCAARTGATCTCCACCACATGACATACATGGTACACTGATATTTTAAGTTGCCCTCAGGGCATTACTCAGGTACCTAGACAATGCACAGTAATAATTCCATCTGCTTGAAGATGATAAGTCCAGTGTTATGTTCATCAGGAATACGAGATGGATAGCCACAGACTTTTGGCTTTTCTATAGAGGAGTCAGCATAGGTGCGATGATAACTCTGTGATGATATTTCCATGATTTAAAAGGATATGGCAGCATATACATTGTCGATCCTGCAGTGGAGGTTTGGTAGCTCATCGTTTCAACTCCTTCAAATCTTGGTCTTCACAAGACTGCCTATTTGCTGCTGACATTCATTCATTCTTTATTAAGATATTTAGTCAGAAACAAAAAATAACTTAAATAATGTATTGATCAAGTGTGAAATGTTAATAACTGATTCTTGAATGCTTTTTTTTTTATTTCTCAGTTACATCTATTTATTAGGCTTCCCATTTGATAGCTAGTTATGCTGGTGTGCTGCCACTGGAGTTGCTGGTTCCCTTTTTTGTTTCACAATAATCAGATGCATTTTGAGAAGTTGTCTCTTGATGATAGCCTCTGCTTTGCTGGTTTGCGGTGTGGCATGCAGCTACAGAAAATGTTCAAGYACCTGAAAAAGAAGTGAGGACAATAAAACATTGTAGCTCCCCCCATTAAGGATCCATCCAGACCTTTGTTGTAGTCTGCTRGCAAACTGCAAAAACCCCTTGGCAGCAGCCAGCTGGGCTGTACCTGTTTGTGCCAAGTGATCATTTTGAAAGGCTCTTTATGAGTCTGGAGTCCCATCTGCTCTGCTGGTGAGGAGGCGGAAGGCACAGGACGTAAGTGACCAGTGTTCAAAGAAAGAGTGGCTTCATGAGCACTGACAAAACATCCTGCTGATGCCAGAGAAAGGCTTTCCCCTCTATTGAAAAGGCAAGATTCAGTCTCGAGAATTGGCTTCRTGCTAGAACTGTAAACAGTTTCTATTTTATAACCATGCAAGTATGTAGCTTTTATATTTTCATCCAGAGTCTGTAGGGGTTCYTTTTCTTGCAGAATTTGTTCGAAGCCTGTGCATACCTCTGGAGGAATAAAAGAAAATGAGTTTGTTCTTCATTATTGCTGTTTGCAATAAGGCAAATTGCCTCTGAAAACACAAGGACTGCTCTTCAAAGACACATTTCTGTGCTCTATGTRGATGTTTGCAAATGTGCATGTGTGTGTGGCTACCATATGTACTAAGCATGTTTGTTCCCACATGTGGCTGACTTCTTTACCCTGCCTGCTTTTCGTGCACCCTCGTACACTAATTTGGGCTGTCAGTGGTGCAGAAGTGGGGAGGASAGGTGTTCACTGTTACGAAGTGTTTACAGCAGTGTGTTATAGGGAATGACCAGAGTGTTTCAGGGACATAAGCAGTAGTCTTGATTAACCTGTTTAACAGCTCACTTGTGGATAAGGCAAACAGTCTAAAGCCTGATCCAGCTGTATTCATGAATTTATTCCTTAGCAAATAATGGTGGATAAAATWAGCAGACATCTGGAACAGGCACATATTTAAAAGTTATTTTGGTCGAAATGTATAAAGCATACTATGAAGAATATGATTGGTAGCTGGTCTTAATAAACAGTTAGTGAGTTCTGCCTGCCTAAAATGCAAAACAGATGTATCTTTGTTCTTTTAAAGTGACTTTGATGAATAAACTACATGTGACGTCAGGTACAAGCTATTGGATGTCTGAGTCCGGCAGAGAAATTTTTTAGAATAAAAAAAAGAAACTTTCCATTGTAGACTCTGGAGAGAACAAAGTGAATTCCAGTGCATTGCTCTCCTAGCAAATAGAAGCAGGTTCAGAGTTTTTAGATAGTCAATCCAAACGTTTATTATTGGTATTATTTTCAGGGAGATCTGTTTTTGTCTGCCGCATTTTCCTCTCCTTACAGCAAGTCTCAGATTTTGGCAATTCACATCAGTATTAAGAGGCTCTGGGTTCAGAGGGTTTTTTTTTCTTTTCCCTTCTTTGTTTTTTCTTTTTTTTCCCCGTCCCGTTTTAGTTTTGGGAGAGGGAGGGCTGAGAGGAGGAGGAGGAGGAAGAGGAGGAGGAGGAGTAGGTGAGGGAGGAGGGTGAAAAGGAGGACAGGCAAATGCTTCCAAAAGGAGAAGGACTGTGCAGACAAAATACTATATCTAAATGTTCTTTAACTCCTCTGGGTTTTGCTTTTGTATTGTAATGAACAATTTAACATTTTTCAGGGCAATAGTCTTTGCTTTGGTGTGCACTTTTTGGCAGATTGAGCAAGCAGTTCAGTGCTGTACTCCTTGTGTCAGGAAGTCAGATCATTCTCTGCAGGTGTTTCATCCATAAACAAGCATCAGCCACAGGCTTCTTTTTCTTTACGGGAACCCTCTGGAATTTAACTTTCAGRTACAAATACTTGGAGAAGTTGGCAGCAGAGGAGTATGAGAAGGAGCTGAAGAGTCGGAGTGTCAGCCGAGGCAGGAGTGAGCTGTCCTTGAATCTGAGATCTCCTTCAGCTCCATCCTCTCCTGTACCCAAGTGCATCAGCCCAGCACCCATAGAGTCCCAGGAAGAGCTGAAGATCCCCTCTATCCCTTGTGGAACTCCTCAGCCCACAGAAGGTAAGTGAAAAGGGGGGCAGGGGAAAGAATGCTGAGTTTGTCATTGTTTCTCTTGGGATAGTGGTGATTTTTGATGCATAAGTGCAAGAATATAATCTCTGAAGTGCCAAAGTAAAGGGTCTTACATTGTTCCATCCTGTCTACCTAAATTTGCCTTTTTTTTTTTTTTTTGCTTTGATTTGGATATCATGTAATCTGTTCAATAACAGAATACACTACTAATTGTTGCTATGATTTATACTATCATTGTTGCTTTTTGGATGGAATAACTAGAAAATAGAGAATACAGAGGGTCCTAATTTTAGTGTCATGTTCCTTATATATGAGCAGTTGCTGAATACTAGACAAACAGTATTCCTGCCAAGAGATTTTGCATATGTGGATTCTCTGAAAGAAATGCAACAGATGAATGCCAAGATTATAATAACCTTCCAGTAGAGCACAGGCTGAATGTGACAAACAGAAAAGGTCTTGAACTGAAGGCAGGAGGGAGTGTGTTGATTATTTTTAATACCAAGAAAAACTCTTAAAATTGTGGCACAAGTCATAAAGGACTTAAAGGAGACCACAGACAATTAGTAAAAAGGAAAGTATAACCAGTGTTTGCACGGTTGGTTTGCTGTCATATAATTTATTGGTGTACAGAGCAATGCTTTTTGTGTGTGTGTGTCATTCTGCCACTTGCATTATGTACCTCTCCTTCAGTCCTCAAAAGCACACAAACCATACAGATTTATRTTTGCACCACATGATGTTGCATTAACATTGGAAGCTAGAATGCATGTTGAGGGCAAATTATCACCATCACTCATTTTTATTTTATTTGATTTCCTGCTACATGCTCTTGGTGATTAATGCATTTGTAACTTGCACTGCTTGGTTTTATGGAGTGTTATGGCTRGTAGCATGCTATAAAGCAAGGCAATTTTGGAAAAAAAGTTACAAACACTGAATGTTGCATATGTTTATTCTCACTGTACTAAGTAGGTAAAGTTTATTTTATTAAGTTTTATATATTTACCCAATTATGCTCCCCAGTTTTCTTGTTTGGAGCCTTAAGAGTCTCAGTGGAATCATCTGAATTTAAAAATCACAGATATTTTCCTCCAATACTGATAGTCAGAACCATCCAAACACCCATTTTATTTAGTGCTCTATTGCTTTTAGAGCAAATAAGCTGGATTTTTCCACCATTAGGATTTCAGAGCTGGGTAGGGAGCAAGTGTTTCTTATGATGATTATTTTAACATATTTCTCCTGGAAGCATTAAAAAAAATTGCAGCATGAAATGGAGCAGCACAATCCATTTGGAGAATACATTTAGAGCAGGTGTACAGGGCAGCTTCAGACAGCCAGAATATGGCAAAGCTATCAACATGTGGGTAGACAGGACATTTCTACTGAAACTCCTGGCAATTCAGTAGGCATTGGGGGGCAGCACCTGGAAGCCTGGCAAATGGACCACAAGGAGAGACCATATGGATGGGGCAGGGTGGGCTTCCAGCCAAGGGCAGCTGCAGGCAGATGGCCAGGACAGAACCTGAACAGGGGCCTGAAATCTGCATCCTTCACTGGGATCCGTGCATGGGCAATGACGGCTTCTTCAGACCTACCCAAAACTTTGGAAAGGTCATAGGAAGTGATGAGCATGTGGGCAGGAAACACCATCTGGAAGTGCCCATATTATTGGATACCTGCCAGTAGGGGACAGGCTTAATGTAGACACTGTGCCATGCTCTCTGTATGGTTACCTGTCTTCCTTATATTCCATAATGAATTAAAATCTCAATTTTACTGCTCTTAGGTATCCCACTTAATAGGTAGATAAACTGATGCATTAACTTGCCTAATCCAGTTGTAGAAAAGCTGAAATAGAGYCATGGACAGAACTTAGATTATTTGCACCCCAAGCAATTGCTTTGAACAGGGGGTCACTCTCTTCCCAAGCAGGAATGAAACAGCAGAAGGAAAACATTACCTTGGTTCTGTGCATGGGATGCTTTAAAGACTCTGCAAGAATGTTGTTTAGCAGATGTATGATACTCATCTGCAGAATGAGAATCTGCAAAGATGATATTCTTCTTCAGGACCTGAAGTCAAAGGGAGTGTTCATCTCCTAGCAGTACAAAAAAAGGATTTCTGAAGTCCAATTTATTTTATTCCTTTTATGCTGAAATATCCTTTTGCTACCCAGCATCTACTGGTATTAAGGAAACAGATTCTGTCTGTGGAACTTCTTCTCACACCGGGAAACRTGTCAGTATCATTACCCAATATAAAAATTTGGACTTATTGAGCTGAAGTGTTTTCTTATATAAAACAATTGCTTCCACTGAAGTAATCAAGTCTTGTAGGACTTACTCTTGTAAAACTTGTGTTACAGCGTTCAGAGGAAATGAAGGCAGACCCATAACTACARAAAGGAACTGAATTTTTCTTTTCAGAGCAGCTACTTACTCTTTTGTAATTCATTTGGAGAATATTTTGTGAAGTGCAAGTATGYAGTAAAGGAGGAGCAACAATAACTGACACATCTCTGAAGTCAATCTACAAAGGAATTGCATGTGAACCCTTCTCTGAAACAAGAAGCTTTTTTAACACTTGAGGAAGCTAGCAGGCCAACCCAAGTGCACACTGTGGAAAGCAGGAAACTTTCTGAAAATACTGGTARTTAACCAGGAGTCAAATACTGCCCAAAGCATGACTGATGAGAGCATCTCAGCAGATGATGGGGAAGCACCAGAGCATGAGCATGCAATGAGGCCAGTGCAGCCCCAGTTGTAGAGCCAAAGGAACCATGATACAGAAAGTCAGAGGAGGAATCTCTGGGTGGAGGGACAAAAAAGGGGATTCTTTTTCTTCATCTGCATGAAAAAAAGAGCCAGTTAATTTGGCACTAGTTCTTACCATCACAAGGAATGGGAGGAAAAAATTGGACTGGGAGTGGGGAGAGATAGGGAATCCCTGTRAAATTCAGAGGAAGAGGAATCCTGTGCTGGAGGAGCTGAAGGGAGATAGCAGCCAAGATTTTACATGATGCCTGAACAATTGAACCAAGAGCTTTTGGGCAGACTTAAGACATTTTCAGACTTACTGTATGCACCCACAAGAGACTCAGCATATGTGTCTCACACCTCCAAGTAGAAAGCAGACAAAGTAGATGAGGAAGTGGTTCCCTAATCAATTAGCCTGACAGGGGATTATATGTGGGCCCAGAGAGATGTTTGTTCTCTCTGAGGGCTTACAGGGCTTGAGGGTTGAGTTCTTATCAGCAAGATAAAGCATCTTGCATCTGCTTCAGGGCTGATTTATCGTTGAGTACTAAAGGAAGTGTCCATATCCCTCTATTCCATTTTAAGTTCTTAGCCACGCTTTTCAGAAGGGATCAGCTCATAAAGGTATCATGCTTCTTAATATCTCAGACACACCTTTGCTGTTGATGCTTTTTGATATGACCAGGCTTGCTTTCTTGAGTCTTTGCATTCTCCACCCGTAGAAGTCTGAAGGCAGGGGACAGAGCCTGGCCTGTTATTTCTCTTGCCACCTGTAAGGTTGTCTGAAGGCAGGGGGCAGAGCCTGGCCTGTTATTTCTCTTGCCACGTGTAAGATTGCCACTTAGGGTAGTGTTTTGTCTAGTGTGGAAATGGACCCAGTAGATGTGGGACTGAAAGTTTGAGCTCATTTCAAACAGGCCACTACCAAGCATTTATTGAGAATTGTATTTTTTTAACATCTGCAGAAGCTGTCACTAATATCACTTCAATGGATTGATTATGTGTTGGAAATCCAAGTGATGGACACATGTCTAGCTTGCTGGTTTTGTTCTCTTGATAGTGTTTCCTGAGAGATTTGATTTTTGCCCTGCTTTTTAATGGTAGTGCTGCTGGACTTAGCTTATGATTTTTAAGTGAATTAGGTTATAGATGGATTGTTTGATACGTGCCTAAAGAGAGAGAGAGAGAAAAAGGCTGTCAAAATGAGTGTCAGCGTATCCTTGTTTCACTCTAGAAGTGCTTAGATTTTGTTATTCCTTGAGTAGCCTATGTCAGTGTATTGCTCTTTACTCTTTGGTATGTATTAGATTATGCTATGTTACAGCACTTTCCTGGTATGTGTGGAATATTTCTTGTTAGAATGGTGTCTGGAATTCTTTTGAACATTCAGATTTTCTCAAGCATTTCTTACATCTCCCCTGACTTTTTCCTATTGAATCTTCAATGTAGCTTCTTGATGACAAAGGTGCAATAAGCATTAGGAGTACTAGCCATGTTTTAATGATCTTCTTTCTTCATCTGAGCTGTTGGAGTTGACCTTTTTGGTTATTGCRTGGCAGCTTTTGTTTTTAGAAATATCTAAAACGCATACTAAATTACGATTATTCATGGATGAGTTGGTGACATTTTGCACATATGGAGCATTGCACCATAGCAAGCTGAATGGTGCAATCTTTCATGCTAAAGGACCACATTACCACATTGGATCCAGGAACTCCTGAAGGATTCCTAAGCTTCCATCTCAGTTATATTCAAATCTTGGCTTTAAAATGCTCTCATGCTATACCTACACACTGACAGCTGTGCTGAGAAACACATCAGTGGGATTTGGAGTGTCTGCCAACTTCTTGACAGCCCTCTGYAATTTTGATTCTCTCCTAGGCACTGTCCAGGATGCAGTCATAGGTAAGGCACATTTAGAGAAACAAGGCATGTGCAGAGGTGCTTGCATATCTRCTATTAGACTTCTTGGTGCTCTCAATGTAGAAGAATGTGATCTTCATTATTCTGGCTTATATTTACTTAGGATAAATCTACTTACCTGCTCACCAGAGGACTGAAATRTTTGGATTGCATTCCAGTATTTCAGTGGGATACTTTTTTTTTCCTTCAAAGGTTCATGTAATTCCTGAAGAAATTCTCATTGTATTTCAAGTAATCCAAAGACAATGAGAAGTTCAGAAGACTCTTTTGCAATTTAATAGAAAATAGTTAACAGAGGGACAAAACAAGTATTACTTGGTCATTATAGTTCAGCCACCTGACACAAGATTTAGTACAGAGGGAATTTGGGAAGTATGCAGAACTAACATGCATGCCCATTTTTGCCACTCTTTGCATGGCCATTTCAGGTTTCAGAGAACTGTGAGCTGCTTGATGTGAATATGTGTGGATGCTCTTCAGTTTCTTTTCAGCATGCAGAGAATATTTGCATGTGAAAATCTGCTGTTACTGCTAAAAACACTAAAGGTGAATGAATTGATTTCACTGGGAAAGCAAAGAAGAAACCAAGTGTACTATCAACAGTGTTTGCTGTGTGCCAACTGATAAAAAMGCTCATCGCATGCCATGTGCCAACCAATTGGAAACTAAATATGTGCCATATGCCAAGCATTTGGAAGCTGTTCAGTTTTGATGTGGCTATTCTGAAGTAAATGTGCATGAAACAACATAYGGTTTTTGTCAGCCAAATGTGTGACAGTGCCATTTTTCAGATTGTGCCATTCAACTGTGTTATTAAAACTAATATTTGTATTTTTTTTTCGTTGAAGTGTTCCTCATCAGGTGAAAAAAGAATTCTTCCAGAACCCAAAGAAAATTCAACCAAAAGCCACAATCACCCTCCTTTTTGTTTTTGTTTTTGTTTTTAAATCTCTTTTTTCCTGGCTCTGTCTAGGCACTGAGTTGTCTATGCTCAGGTGAGATGCCCATTTTCTGCTGGTTCATTCAAATCCATGTGCGAGTCCAACACTGCAGCTGTGGAAGAACGTATAAAAACAGTGGGCTGGCTCCAGACAGCCAGTGAGGGGCTGCCAGGCCTCTCTCACGTGCAATGCTGTCGTCTCACAACATCCATCAGTCTGTTGCTCCTAACGTTCCTGAGCATGCCGTGGACTTGCATTTTATTTTCTTTCCATAAGGCACTGGTACAGCTCTCACGTCTCTCTCGTTCAGAGGGGTGAACATGAGAAGGCTCCATTGTTAAGTGAATTTCTTTCTCCCATTGTTCTCTCCACCAGTGAGTGCCAGTGAACCCGAACCAGAGACAGAGACAGAACCAGAACCAGAAGCAGAAGCAGAGCAGGAGGCTGAGGCTGAGGCCAAACAGGGAACGGAGACACCCAAGGAAATAGAGGCTACAGAGCTGGGACCAGAGAGTGAGGTGGAGCAAGGACCAGAGAGAGAGCCAGAAGAAAGTGCAATACTCAGTGAAAAAGAGAGGCAGAATGAGGAAGTGAATGAAAAAGACAACTGCTCTGCATCCAGTATATCCTCAGCAAGCAGCACTTTAGAGAGGGAAGAGAGAGAGGACAAGTTAACCAGTGACAGTGAAACTGGTAAAGTGAAGCTTTTTCAATAACAAAGGGTTTCTGGTGGAAAAAAAAATGTTAAATTAATAGCTCTGATATTGTGTTAATTAGCTAACAAACCCTTTGCACCTATCTAAAGCTTTCTTCTTCACCATGGCCAAGTCTTGTCTACTCTCTGCTTGGACATTCAGACTTTATTGAGGTTTTTATGTTTGAGGGACAATAGAGCCTTGATGGAATGAAGGTTCATTTGATTTGAGATCATTTTCTTCCCCTAAGAGTAATATATTAACTACTGAATCACCATATTGCAGAAACTTGCATCTCTACTCCTGGAGAATTTGTTTAGTTCTCTGTACATCAGTAAATGAGAGAGGGGGCTGTGCTGACATGATTCATGGAGTTCCAGATACCTTTCTCATCCTTTTAGTGGAAAAGGAAGAGCAATGAGGGCTGAGGTGTTTGTTCCTTCCCTTCAGTTCTTCTGTCTTGCTCAGGCTTCAGACAGCAGAGACACATAGGAGCTGCTGAAGACAGATCTGGACTGTGGCTTTCTTTATCTCATGTGGAGGAGTCACATGAAACACTTCTTGTCTGGAAAACACAAATTCTGTGGTGCTGAGGGTTTCTAGTCAAATACGCCACCAGGTACCAGCCTGGAAAGGCCTAGCCTGGAAACACCTTACGTACCAAGTTTCTGCCCAGAGATTGTGATAACCAGAATCAGGAAGGGAATAAAAGGCAGATTTTGACTTTGTTGGTGGCTTTTTCCCCTTTTTATAGGGAGGTAAGGAATGTAATGTAATTAGGGCATTTGATTCCCATGTTTTCTTTGGTCTGAACCATGGAATGCATTGTCCTACATTTTCTAAATTCTAGATAAAAAACAAGATGTGCTTCACAGTGTGAAATAGTCCTGCCCTGTCCTGAAAGAAGAGGGATAGCTCTGAATCCCAACGATTACCTCATAGACAAACTGTCAGATTGAACTGTTCAAATTTAAACCTGTTACTTTTTTTAAAAAAATTACATCCTGAATTTAAGACTTAATTTATTTTCAGTCAGCACCAAGATTGAGTTACTTTAGAATTCTGTTGTACTCATAAATTCTGTAGATGGATTTATCTGTAGGAAAGGCAGGGGGAGATATCACAGAAGAAGGATGTTGTTACACTGTGGCATAGCCCAAGATAGTCCAAGTGCAAATAAAGGAGAACAGTTGCAGGTTTTTCCTCCTTTATCTTGTCTGTTACCAACCTGTTATCACTCCAATTTAAAGTCCCTATGTACTTTTGTTAAAAGCTAAGAAATGTACTCTCATTATAATCAACATCTTAAAATTGTCCTGCACTACCAGTAGACCAAAGATTTATTCAATAGTGCTGTGTAGGAGGTCTCATGTAGTGAATTGTTGGCTCTCTAGTAGGTGAGGAGTTTTGGAAAGCAAATGAGCACTTTCTCCAGCAGTTCTGACGTTCCCAATAAGCATTTCGCCATTTGTGAAGAGGGCCATTGCTTCTGCCCAGGTGCATTGAAGACACAGGAATAAAGCCTTTGATGCAGGTTTCTTCATTAGCCATCCTGCCAAATTTGTCTTCCTACAAGTCTTGTTTCTGCAATGGTATTTCARAGCTTTACCTGTGGAGAGKAGGGCAGAAGAGGCCACCAAGGTAGCAGGAGACTTGGCAGCAATGATCCTTGATCAGCTTGGACAACTGGAGGCAGATTTGGGAAACCCAAATTAGAAATGGGGAAATTTTGATGAGCAGTTTTGCAAAGGGATTAAACATTGGARGATCCCATCTGTTGAAACTGAGAGCAGGCAGATCATGTGGGGTTTATGGGATGAATCTAGGGAACAATCTTGGACATCTTTGAAGGAAAAGTTTGAAGTGGGGGGAAGTCCTGCGAGGGCACAGCTGGGTAAAATCTATATTGTGGGAAAGGAGTTGTCTAGTGAAGTTGCCCAGTGAAACTACCTCGGAGAGAAATCTAAGAGACTGCTTCAGGTGACAGCTGCTGGTAAGAAAGCAATGCCAGGGATCAAGTCTGAGGAAAAATGAGCAGGTAATGGAAGCAGTCAAGCCACCTGCAGGAAAGTAGGTGGTATCCATTTCTGAAAAAAAGTCTTTCTTTCATCTGATTTTAAAACGTAGTTTGGAGATTATTCTAATATAGGCAAGTTATTGCTGCCCATGCTTTGTGCTACAAGGCCCTACACTTCGTTGCAGTGTTATTTTAAAGGGGGGGAGGCAGGGAGCTGTGGGGCCCTGGATGTAGATGTCACCAAGAGCACTCCTTCTCAGAGCACAGGACTAGATGTTGTGGKAAGAAAGCAACTCTGTTGACAAAAGAAGCCATAAAAGTTATTTAGAACTCTAAAGTATTGAAAAAGGTGGGAGCATAAGTGAAGGAGCAAAGATAAAATGGGAGCTTAAGAGAAAGGGCAACTGACAGGCATAAAATCTTTAACCACAAGGACCCAAAAAACAAAAAAAAAAAAGCAGGCTAGCAATCAAAATAAAATGAAGAAATAAAAGAAGCAGAGTTTATGACAAATGTATTAGTAAAATATGTAAAGATTATGGCAAACAGGAGGAATTCCACACAGGAGATGCCGTAAGTGTGAAAAATTATCATTGTTGCATGTTTAATCTCTTTATCTGATGCCCACTGGAAAAAGGAGCACCATAATTTTTAGACACATTTTCCACATGGGTTAACAGTATAAAATTCAGGGAAATGGAGTCACAGAGACGATTACATCATATATTTTTACAGTTTGACCACTATAATTTGTTATTTATGGTGCTCTCTCAGACATGGTATTTTGCATATTATTGGTGARAAAAGCAGTAGTCAGAAAGATGAAGCTTCATTACAGTGACATGTTAAATGTTTGTGATGCAGGAAGGCCAATAGCCTTTCAACACCATCATGTAACAGGGAGTATAACAGTGGCTGATGAGCAGCATGGTCAAAAGTATTTTATAAAGGTTCCCATATCATAAACAACTTTTAAAATCTTGCTTATGCTTACACTCACTGAGTTGCCCTGAGACCCGTAACCTGGGTGTGCAGCTTACTTTGGAATTCCAATAGTCTGTGTTGTGAAGATGGCCCAGGTACCCAGCCAGGGGTTCTGAGGAACAGCCAGGTCTGAAAGCTGTCCTTCCCTAGCCAGCAGGGTGGGAGGAGCAGAAGTAAATATGTTAACCTTGACATCAGGCARGGGAGATTGGTTTCATATGAAAATTTCCCTGAGGTTTCAGTATATGGCCAGGTGAAGAGTATGATGGTAACCCATTTTGTGTCATTGTCATGATATTTAAGCCCCATTCTGGAATACCAAAGGTTATGAGAATTTATGCATGGTATAAAATGAGCAGAGGTAGTAAGTACAAAGTGAAATTTGACAGATTTCATGACAAACCTGAACATTCAAATCCTGAAAATTATGTAGTCCCTCCCAAGCTACATATCATTCTCTACTTCCATTTCTTTTTTGAGAATTGCTCCCAACCCATCAAGATCTGGCCATGTATCAGTGCTGTACCTTATTTCAAAATTTTCACAGTAACTGCTTGCCCAGTTTCAGGCTAGTTGTACACGAGTTCCCCAAATGTTTTTTYTGGTGGGTTGAAGGGTGTTCTCGGTGCTCTACCCTCCTTGCCTTGACTCTTCCCATGTCTGTGTGTGTGATTGCAGGTCCATGGTCACAGACCATTCAGGATGCTGGTGTGAATGAGCAGTGCAGCAACATCCTCAACAACAAGCGCTTTATGCTGGACATGTTGTATGCCCATAACAAAAAGCCCAAAGATGAAGAGGAGAAGGAGCTGGAGGCGAAGGARGAAAAGAAGGAGACGGAGGAAAGCGAGGAGTCACTCACTAGCCTAGCCAGCAGGATCTCCATTCTTCAGGCCACAAAGCAGGCCAAAGATGAAAGTGTCAAAAAGATGGAGATTGGAAATCTGGACAACCAAGGCAGTGTGAAAGCCTTTGCAGAAAAATTTAACAGTGGTGAGCTGGCTAAGGGGACAGCAGTGCCTGAAGACGAAACCAATGAACAGGTCCCYGAGAAAACAGCAGCACAGACAAAGAAGGAGTCTGATTACATCTGGGATCAGCTCATGGCTAATCCTCGAGAACTTAAAATCAAAGACATGGATTTTACAGACTTGGGGGAGGAGGATGATGTAGATGTGTTGGACATGGATATGGGTCCTGGGGACTCCCTTGTTCCCCCTCCTCCACCTCCACCTTCTTTCCTGGGTTTGCCTCCTCCGCCGCCTCCCCCATTGTTTGGATGTCCGCCTCCACCTCCGCCCTCTGCTAATTTATTGGCTCCTCCTCCACTGTTCAGCACTCCTCAGGGTTTAGGGTCACCCCAGGTTTCTAGGGGTCAGCCAGCATTTATAAAGAAGAAGAAAACTATCCGTCTGTTTTGGAATGAGGTACGGCCGTTTGAGTGGCAGTGTAAAAACAACAAACGCTGCAGAGAATTCCTGTGGTCGAAACTGGAACCCATTAAGGTGGACACTTCCAAACTGGAGCATCTCTTTGAGTCTAAATCCAAGGAACTGCCTGTCACAAAGGTACAGCTTGTATTCAGTTTGCWGTTTTTCTGCTATTGTATTGGTATTCATTCTGAATTAGATCAAGGTGATTTATGTTGTTTATATCAAACCAGTGTTTTGAAATTACTGSATGTGTTTCTACCATGGCCTATGACAGAAGATATTCCATGGACTAGAGATGAGCCTGGGGTGGTGAACATGCCAAGTTGCTCTCCTGTCAGGTCTACCATTTGTGGGATATAACTCCAGGTGGCAAATACCAACAAACTTTTCATCAGRTTGTCCGTAGCTGAGTGCCAAACTAGGTATTAGAATCTGAAATATTTTCTGTTGCATTCATAAAAAGGTCACAGCATGGTGATTCATATCTGTATATTTGACAGCTCTTCRCTTGGTAATATTTTCCTAATCGTTATGTGGAAAGGTTGGACTATCAGACTGGATCTGGTGCTAAGAGTCTACACATGTGCTTTGTTCTGAAGGATGGAATTATCAGCTGGACCAAGTTTACAGCTGCACTCTGCAGGGGTGTTGGGTTTTCGTTTTATACTGGTGAACAGGCCTATTTTAAATCCTTAATTTATGCAATGTGGCAATTTTAGAAGCTGGCACAGGAAATACCTCTGTAGCTAGGATTCCCTCTTCCTCAGTATTGTTATAAAATAAACTCACAAAGGCTCGTGACATGGCTGTTTAACATTAGAATCAACAACAAAAGGAAGCTTTTTATAGTTACATTTAGTAGGAATTTGAAGTAGCATTAAAAAAGTTATTAGCCTAAGCATTTGTTTTTCATGGCTACATAAACTCTTTTTCTTCTAAGCAGAATAATTGGTATCAGGGAAACAATGTTTTTTTCCAGTTAAAATGCTAGTAAAAAATGTCCATCTCTCTTAAAAGAAATTAATTGCTTGTGGGTTTTCTTACTATTCCTATATGTCTTAGAGTAACATAAAAAGCAGTTAGCACCTCAAATATTTTACTTTTCTTTAGCTAGAGAAAGTTGTTCTATCTATTGTGTATTACAGATATTCTTGTTTGCTCTTACTCTGAGGAGTCTGGATGTCTCACGGTAAAGGTTCTCTGTGCCACTTGTAAGATTATTAACTCAAAATTTTCTAGTAGTCATTCTTTATCTTGATGACCCAGTGGAAACACTGCAGTTTCTATGACCAAGCTCCCAGGCACCTAACAGACATCAGGAACATAAAGAGATGGCTCCTGTAGATCCTCCCATCGCTGTTCTGAGCTGAATTTGTGGTGACACAGAGGCACTTGGATCTGAAACGTATGGTATAGCACCTTTAGAAACACATTCAGCTAATTGTTCATCTGGCCAGTGCTGAGATTAATTTCTCTCCCTAATTCCTTTTCTGCTGAGGAAGGAATGCCGGTGAYGTCGTGGCATGCTACTCCTCATCTCTCTCCCCGTAAATACAAATCTGCCACAGATGGTTCATAGATGGAAGGAATGAGAGCATTTTCTTAGATCCATAAAATATTTAATTACTCGAATTGAATGTGGAATGATGACATATTTGCCATATCTGTGCTAAGGGCCAGCATTGYAATGGATCATGCTGGCTGATTCTTAATCTTTTATCCTCACATGAAATTTTGATAAAATGTTAAATTATTGGAATTATGACTTGTTTACTTTTCCAGTCAATCAGCGTGCATGTTCCCAAACTACCCTTGGCCAAGTTCCCTCCCTCACACTTGCTTCTCAAACCTGCCTGATGCTTTGGCACAGCTTTTGGCTTCTGGCTGGAAGATGAGTGAGCAGGTTTCTTTGAAATTAGTGCAAGTCTGAGGAATGATTTAGGTGACTGCTTTCCCCTTGGCGACTCATAACTGCTCTCTGCATGAGACATTGTACTTTTGGCTCTCTTTCTACCCTGTCCCATAACACAGACATAGAAGTCTCATTGTCTCATTGCAGAGAAGACAATGGGGACTGAGGAGTGCAGTAGCAGAGCTCTGTGCAGACTTTTGAAACTCCTGCCTGGTTTTTGTGAACAGCAGCAAATCTTCCTGAGCAGGACATGGTCCTTAGATCATTAGGCAGACCACCAAATCCGTAAAAGACTTGAGGTTTGGTACGAAGATTGCGCTTAAATTAGGATAGCTCTCGCTTTTTCCAGACTGCTTGGTTTATTTCCAGGGAGCACATTCCCCGTTGTGTCTAGTTTCTCCTGTCCAATGGCCTCAATCCAAAACAGGTTTATTCTATAATATCGTAAAATCTGACTCACAGCTCACTTGGTTCAGCTGAAAGAGTGCAGAGCAACAAATCAAAAGTCAAATCTCCAGATTTCATAGCAAGAGATGGAAGTAGGTGCWTGGAAAAGGAACAGTCCAGAAGGATGAGAGGAAAAGCAAAAGTCAGGGTGTATACGGGGGGGGTGGGGGGTTGGGTCTATCGTGTGCTCTTTCATGCAGCTGTAACCAATTTTACTCCAGCTTCTAATCCTTTACTGTGATTTCCACAACACACAGCTATAAACAGCTACTTCCTGGCTCATGAGAAGTTTTTCATTAAACACAATAGACTGTAATAAAATAAAGTGGATTTTAAATTGTAGGATATAATACAGAATTTTGGGGGCTGGGACTGGGAGAGGAGATTCTTGATTTTAGGAAAAGTTATGCCACACTGAGCAACTTGCACATTTAWTTTAGTTGGTGGAGCACCTTTAGTTGCAGATGATTTATTTTTTTAAGATAGATCACCACTTCATTATATTTGTGAATAGAAAGAGTGATTGGTATCCCCTCCAAGYCAGTCAAGTATTTCCTTCCTTCTTWTKGCACCAAACAAAGCAGGTATYTTGGCAAAGTACTTCAAAGTCTTTACTTTTCCATGAAGAGAGATGAAAACATGCAGACACTCCTGAATCATATGCTATTGTTCAGCCCTTTTGCCATCCACTTGGTTCTGCATGAAAGTATTATTTTGCTAATTCATGTATACTCTGCGGGATACAGTGATCCATCATGTGCCCACAGAYATAAAAATTAGTAGGAGAGAAAAATGAAAGGATCTGGTTTTGTGTACACATGTAAATACATGCTTAGGCACATATTCCTTTTGAAAGGATTTGTTGTAATTTCAGCAAATGCTGAGACAAGTCATAAATGTGGACCAGAATTCTGAAGAAGATTACATACATATATCCTGGAAMAGTCAGAGGCAGCTGAGCGATTCCATTTTAAATTCTTCTTAATTGAGGTTAAAAAAACAGAAAAGCCATCTCACTATTAAGGGAGATTCTTCTGTGCTATTGATACAATCTTCTGCAACTTTAAAGGCAGGAGATATTTTTCACTTGATGCTGATATATAATGATTTATTTATATGACCACTTGAAAAGTTATTTAGATTTTTCTGCTTTCCATGTTAATTAAAGCAAAGAGGCATGTTTAAGCCTTTGTTATCATCAGACTGCAAATCACCTTCTTTGGGATAGTAACTGTCTTTAAATMATCTATCTGGACTACCCAGTCTTTAACAGAGGCAAGAGAATGTGGCCAGTTAGGTCTTGTAAAGTTAACACTGTAGTTGTTAATACATTGCAGAAATGTTTGTCTCCCACAAATTATACAACYTGTTATATTTGTAATTTATAATTACTTTCATGTTTACATTTAATAATATAGTATATATATGGTATTCAGAAGTTCAGGGATTACCCTTCATATTGACACATTAAAATACAAAATCAACTGCACTAGTTCACTCTTCCCTCAAGCATTTGAAGTCATTCTCTGGTAATGAATTTATAAAGAGTAGATTGAAGACACCAWATATTATAACAGAAATTAATAGTTGTATAACTATACATAAAATAATAGCTTATTTTAACAGTCATACACTTCCACATGTGCAATTTCATTGCAGACAAAAAGCAGTTCTTTTCCTAGCAGTAAGGTAGTAAAGTTCATAGTAGTAAAATCTTTCTCCTTTCTTCATCCTTTTATTTATTTGGAAAGGATTTCTTTGGAACTCAGAAGACGTCCCCAGAATGGATTTAAAATCTGCAGCCCCCGTTTTTGAWAAGGGTTACTCACCCCAACATTTTATAACCCATACACAGTTCTAGCTCTGGAAAACACCTCCATTCACCCCTGCCCTGTGCAGCTCATCTGTCTCTCATCAGCCACTGTTTGGGAGTGTGTGCTGTGAGCGTCCTGTGTCCCCCAAATTAATACGTCTGTCTTGTCAGATTTGGGAGCCTGAAAACAGAGCTGCACATTTGAGGCTTTCYTACCCATGCACATGTGGGAAGCCTAAATTTAAGTCCTTTCCCCCAGTCTTTTCCCTTCTGCATAAATTCTTTGGAGCGGTGTAATTTTGTGCTCCAAAGGACAAGGTAAAAAGTGGTGGTTTAAAAACTGCTTAGTGCAATACAAACTCAAAGGAAGTAGTCTCTAGTGAACCCTGTTTGGCTTTAWTGTGGTCTTGGCCACTAACTGTGGTCCTGAAAATGTGATTAGTGGCTCGGGAAGTAAAAGTTACTGCTTTAAAGGAGAAACTTCATCTCACATCCTACAGGTAGCTCCCTAAGTAAAAGAAGATTCTCTTAATCARAGAAGGGAGAGCTAAGGAAGGCTTTGGGGATACTTTTAAGGTGTTAAGAAGAGACCAGTTCTGACAAAACTGATACAGAAACATTGAAAAATAAATTATATCTTTGGTCTCCTAAAATTAATCCTGTGYACTGCAAATTTATTTTTCTTTCCTAGTTTAAAAAAACAACCCTCTTATGACTTTCACAGATCACACACATGGGGTATTCCTCAACTCCTGTAAACAGCACTTGCCTTCAGATGTAAAAACAAACACCAYATTCAGCACCACATTATGCCATATGAGTGGGTTTTGAGTCACTTTGTATAGTTGGTTCACATTTTGCCACTATAAGGATGATGAGAAAGAGAAAGAAATTCATTGGGTCTACTCTAGAATGGAATTTAAAGCATATGTTGCCAGTTCTGTGTGATTTTATTATTATTTGTACTGGAGGCAAGATCCAAGAATATGGATAGTCTCAAATAAAACTTAGAAAAAAGCATCTGTGAAGGATTTGACAGACATACCATGTGGGGCAGGGTAGAATAACTTTCCCCTGGCAGCCAGAGGTCAGAAAACCATGCCAGTGCCTCCAGAGAGGCACCTGTGGCTCCTTTGCCAGTGCCCGAGGTGGATTTACAACACAGGAGATTGCTGGAGAGGGTCCAGATTGATGCATCCAACAAGGAATCGAGCCCTGGAGCCCCTTGGCTGCCCACCTGTGCTGGCCAGTCCTGCTGCACAGCAGAGCTCTGGGCTGGCAGAGACAATGTCAGGTGTTTTTGAGTCTGGCTGCTGCCCCAAACTGCCCTTGTGGGGACTGGCTCAGGCTGGCTCTGCTTTGCAGGGCAGCATTTGCATCTCTGATTGAACCCTGGCAGCTCATGTTGATACCAGCAAGGATGTACTGGAGGAATCCAGCTTGTTTTGATGCCTACAAATAAATTGGATTTATATTCAGCATCAATTTTCATGGGTGGGGGAAGCCACTAGTGAAAGGTGTGACTTTTCCTTTATAAAACAGATCAGAGGAATAATGACCTTGTCCTCTTCTTTCCCAAGAAAACTGCTGCGGATGGGAAGCGACAGGAGATCATTGTGTTGGACTCAAAGCGAAGCAACGCCATTAATATTGGCCTGACTGTGCTGCCCCCTCCCCGCACCATCAAGACTGCTATTTTGAACTTYGACGAATATGCCTTAAACAAGGAAGGAATAGAGGTAAGAGAGAATAAGCAATGTCTGCAAGCCTGCATTTTCAATACTTTTTTTCCCATGTTGTGTATGGTACAGACCAGACTGGTCATGGAAGAGGGAATGGGGGTGTATTATGTCATGTCTGAGTGTCGAAATTTGTGAAATCAGTGCAGGGGGCTCAGAAGTATGAAGTATCATGAGGCTGGGCATGTGCAGTGATCATGGATTATCTGCTTTGTTTGAGTAGAACTGGTGTTAATTCCTGTCAGGTTTTTCAGAGTATTAGCTGAAGCTTGACTGAAATACTGTATGCAGCAGASTTACTAGGGCTGATGCAGCGGGTACAGAGTTTAATAAATTTCATGCCCAGCTAGCTGTTGGAGTCATTCTAGATTGTATATCTAATGGAAAACAAATACAGCGACTGGTTCTGCCCAGAATAGCATTTCTGTGTTACTGTTGTTTGAAGAAAAGCAGTTGGTATAAAGATTACAGATGATGTAATTTTTACCACTACATGTTTGACTTTGCAGATATTCTTACCAAGATCCAAGATGAGCTCTGTTTATTATTTTTTTTATCAAAACATTTTTCTTCTATGAAGTATAAAAGAAGCCTGCGGCTCCACTGTTTTTTTCATTATGGTTGTATTCATTTCACTTTTTTTTTTCAGTAGGCCTGTATCATCTAGTAAGAGTAATCAGAACAACTACAAATCTCAATCAGTGGCTATCAGAGGTCAAATATTAATTCACAGTCACCTTTTAGTGGTTTGGCACTGTGTTCCATGATTTCCGCCTTTCCGCCTTCACCTTGCTGGCTACAAAAGCAAATGAGAAGAGCTTCCTGGAATGAAAATGGAGTTGCCAACAGTTGCATGCAAAGGAAATGCTTAAGGCAAAATATCCTTCCAGCTAGAAGGCAAGGCCTGATTCATCTCTACTAGAATATCATTTCTTCCCAAAGTTATATTACTTATTTGCTATATGCAAATAACTTAYATTATGAAGATGACAGATCACTCTAAAAAAGTAATTTCTCATGACCCAGCCCATGTACTTACCACTGCAATCTGCAATGCTTAATACTGCAATCTGCAGTATTAAGTTTTAAAGTGCTGGAGAGAAGTATCCCTCCAGCCAAGCCCAGCTCACTGCCAAGCAGATGGATCTCAGTGCTGTAGGCAATGTTTCCATACAAAATCCGGCATAAAATAGCTGACAAAGAAGGACACAGCTTCATTAACTTTCATTTTTCATCTCCTTCTAATTGTGTCCTTCTCTGGCTTCAGGTGCTCTGCACAGCCCACCCTTTCCACTGCCAGCATTTGTCTCTGGGCTGTCCATCTGCCAGCCACCTGTTGTGGTGTCCACAGCTGTGCTCTGTACCACCACACCCTCCTTTGGGTGGCCTTTCTGTTAGCTGCCAGGAACCCATAATTTCATTTAAAATATATTTGAAAGTGGATTTCAATTTGAAGAATGCAAGAAATCAAGAAATTGCATAGTGTTAATAAACTTGCCCAGTGCTAAAGGAAAGGTCTCTGAGGTCTGTGTCCACAGCTTGAAGCTCAGGATGTGAATAATTCTGATGTGATCATTCAGGTACTTGAAATCAGCAGAAAGGGCAAGTGCAGCAGGGCCCAGGTGTTTTGCACTTTGGTGAATGTAGTCCTCAATTGTTAGGAAGGATGATGTCCATGGAGAAAAGAGCATATATACTCTTTTCTTTGAAAATAGCAAAATACATATATTTATTTACTTCTTAACAGGTAAAATCCTACAATGAATTCAGATTTTCTTTCCCAATCCCAAACTACAGATTTTTTTTATGGCATGTTACAGAGTCAGCCCTTTACAGTGATAGAGAGAGCTGCATTAAGCTATGCAGAATTGGCCAGGTAGTGCACAGGTTGATACAAAAATGCACTGTTGTGGGTCCCACGGTTTTCAGTGGGTCCCACTGTTTTCAGCCTCAGTTTTCCCTACCATAAATTTTATTTCCTGTGTCTCTTCTCTGTATCTATGTGTTCGTTGGCATAGAGAGAAGTTAGCATAGAGAGAAGAGAGGTTGTTGCTTCAGTCTACATTTTTAGAAAGTTTTCGGCTTCATATCTATGTAAATATAAGGAAATAATTGGTAGCAACTTTGAATGAATCAACAATAGTGTAAGAATCAATTCATTTATTTAAAAACCCATAGATAACAAAGCAATTTGTATATAATATAATTGATAGTTTATCTGTGTGTTGATTGGGGCAGGACTGGTATGGAAAAAAAATATGCAATTTGCCTAATAGAAAAATTCTAGCACAGTGGATACTCAAAAGCCTTTCTGCACAGTAATTGTCTAGAAGAGATGTCACAYCCAGTAAGCAGAAGAGAGAGATGTAACAAAAGCAGAGAAAAACGTGTGATGATAACATAACATCGCAAAAAATTGACATAGCTAAATTTGATTTGATATAGCTAAAATTTCAGAGRTGCTATGATTTAGGATTGTCTTCAGTTTTTGTCAGATCCAACACAGAGCAGAGCARCCAAAGTGTAAAAAGCTGAGCCATCCTTTTCCTTGACAGCGAGCTCTGTGATTTGTCCTTTCCCTGAGGAGCATCACCACTGTCATCTGAGTGTGTGTGGCTTTGGTTCTGCACCTTGGTGGATTAAATATTACCTTAAAACTGATCTTTTAAGGACAGTGGACTAAAGCAGTGCTGACAGTAGTGCTAGCAGCAAGGCAAGGATGCAGTGGGCTGCAGGCTACAAGTTTGTGATAACCCAGTTCATCATCAAGTCCACAGCTAGACYAGTAGCTCCAGCAGACCCTCCACTGCTGCCCTACATCCTGCTGAATGCTGCTTTGCTTTTGACATTGAGCTCCTGTTAGTAATCCATACTTTACTTTTTAACTTTAAATACATATAACTAAGTGGAAAAATTCTTCCAGTTATTTTGAAGCCCTCTGTTCCTAAATATGTTGCATACTTTTAGACCTTTTGCTTAAAGTGGTTATTTGCCCCCGAGCTGTGAAAAAAGGCAGAAAGTGGGGCCATTAGACGAGAAAGGCAGATGTAGTCCACTTAGTATGCAAAGCAGGCACTGTTTAAGACTTATTTTTGGAGGAATGCGCATTGTGTGTTTGCAAGCATGAGCCAGTCCAGCTAAAAAAAAAAAATTTGCCACCTTACATTTGCCAAAGTGTTTGTGTTTTCCTTTCTTTGAAAGCTTGGCATTCATTGTGTTCAAACAGCTTGGAGCTCTCTGCAGAATAAAGAACTGCCTCCTTAGCATGATGATGAGGTCTTGCTGTGAATGAAGCAAAAGAGGCAAGCTTAAAATCCTGGCACCTGATTTTTATGTATCGGGGCAACTGCAAGAATGGAGTCCAACAAACCAGTCCTYGGTGCTTAACCATTTCCTTTAGCAAAGGAAATGAGTGGATCTCTCTGTAAAGGGCTGCTTAGTAAGGAAACATAGATCAAAATCAAATTATATCAAAGACAGTGATTAATTTAGCAGAGTAAAATTAGGGTAATGCTTTGAGGAAATTAGCRTGGATTGTTTTCTGCTTTACAATAGAGTCTTGTGATGCTACACAAGATTGATTGCATTAATAGGTACAGCTTTCACTAAATTTTTGAAATAAAAAAATCTCTCCAGGTGTGCTACACCCTCCATACTCATAATAAGTAATTTCARGTCTAGGTGTCTGGAGTGGCTAGATAGCCCTGAGATGTAAAAATGGGTAAGAAAGGAGAGCTTGGTTTTAAAAAGCCAGATGGTGACATGTATAAACAAAAATCAGAATTTGATTTTCGGTACCTAGTAAGGTATTTACAGTTTTATTCTGATCATTGACATGGTACACCAACATTTGCAGTTTCCAATGTGTTAGCTAATGCCTTGTAAGAGTGTGATGGGATGTCTCAAATGATGCTAGCTCACATGACCTGAAAGAGTACCTTTTTCACAAGTCTAGACAAGAGAATGGCCTCAGTGGTGCTTTGCTGGCCAGACACCCACAGTCAGCATATCACAGCCTTAATCTGTTTCAGGCTTTATTTAAAGAAAAAATGCCACACTTTCTCTCCTTGCAGCAAACCAAAAACATCTTCAGTTTCTGTGACCAGCATTGACATGTTCATGTGTTTCAGTGGAGAGCTGAGGAAGCAGAGTAGTCCGACTGAGGCAATGGTGTCAGGTCCTGATTTACAGCAACGGCTATCAGTATTTTAGGTGTAGTTCCTTCTTGGAATTGGATCATTTTTGGAACAGTTGYAATAAAATTAGTGCAGGCAGCTTCCCTTACTGTGAAGTTCTGACCTTCATGTGCTGTTACATTTTCTTAGAGTTTCTACAGGCAGTGCAAACCAGCAATGGGTCTTGTTGACAGCTGCCTGGAAAGCTGAAATGTGAGAGAGCCTTTTAGGAGTTGGATTGTCTTCTGAGGCCTGTCAGATACCWGGTGAAATACCCACTAATGTCTATTTGGTTATGCAGCTTATGTCTTCTGTGGTCCTCAAGCCACAGAAACCTTTGGACACAACAATAACAAACAAATTTTTGAGTTACCAGTTTTTTTCAGGCTGTTGTTCACCTGATAAGATCAGCTGAAACCAAACACAAAAGACACGACACTCCTGCAATCCCATCATCGCTGAGAAGCCCCAGTGTGTCGTGAAAGAGGAAACTTAAGCACCTAATTTCCTCAGAGACTATTTGCCCTTGCTGGTTAGGTTCTTTCTTGTGTCCCACACTGAGGCCCATGACCCTCAGCCATATGTTACTCTTATAAGTCTTTCCTCTTAGGAATTTTTTGAGATTATACCTCAGGATGTCAGAGTCCAGGAAATAAGCAGTTTGATCCYTTTGCTGAAAGTACAAGCAGGTGGCTGGGTCCAGCAGTCCAGCAGCAGAATAGTTAGGATCCATTATCTCATGCAAAAATTACTCGCTTTCCTCCTTTATTTGTGCACTGGTTTTCCTCAGAACTCTGGCCCAAACAGCAGTGTGAGAATGCATGAAGGTGAAATACATGTGGMACACATACTAGCAAATACGAGCATAGGGTTTGTTAAGAACCAGTTCTTCTTTAATTGACCTGAAGGCTTCTGACACTGCCTCAATTACAGGAAAAGACCAGGGCAGTTGGGGCTGTTCAGCCCGGAGAAGAGTAAAATGAGAGTGTCAATGTAATTAAGTGTCTTAAGGGAGGGTGTCAAGAGTATGGACACCACTCCTCCCAGTGGTGCCCAGCAACAGGACAAGAGATAACAGTGAGAAACTGATGGACAGAAAGTTCCACCTGGATATGAGGAAGAATTTGTTTAATGTGTCGGTGACTATGCCCTGGTACAGATTGCCCAGAGATATTGTAGAATCTCCATACTGAAGATATTCAAGAACCATCTGGTGCCATGTGCTCTGGGATGGCCCTGCTTGAGCAGGGAGATGGGACCAGCTGAGCCACTGTGGTCCCTTCCTACCTGACCCTCTATGGGGAGAGCAATAGGAGCTAATCATTGGATTCAAAGCTATTTCTGATTTAATGGTCACATCAGGTGCCAGTAACCTGCTGCCCTGCTRTGATTTTATGCTACTTTTACTGTTAGTGTTGTTTCAAAAAATAAAAGTAATAAAGATGAAAATAATAATTAAGCGGTAGATGGTGTACTCATCAGTTTCCAACACTGAACAAATGGCTCGAATTAGTCATAGAGTGGAAATCAAGAAGAGCATTTCACTACTTGCTCGGGCACACATCAAGGATGACAACCAGCAGGATCAGAATTATTTGCCCAAGCAGATGAGAAGTGCTGGTGTAGGTCATTGTTATGGGGACACTTGCACCCCGGATGGTGTGAGACCTGCCAGCAGCTCTGGCCCCACCCAAGCATGGCTTTCAGCAGCAGGGCTGACCCTCAGCAGCTGGCACCACAAGCACAGGCATTTTTGCTCTGTTTCGCACAGTGTGGTACGCAGCACAGCAGCCTCTTTTTGTCAGCTCCATCTGTCTTGTGATGTTTATATAAAGCTCAAGGAGGAGGAGAGTCCCTTTGGAAATAAGCCTCACTGTTTCTTTGCTCTCTTTAAAATGCCCCAAAGCAATGCAAAACCTCTGGAGTGAAGGCACTGCCCCACCATAAAATACATGTGGGATCCTTGGGTTGCTGCCAAAAGTCCTAATTATTTGTAGGAGGCTATTGAGAATACTGCTAAAGTGTTAGCCTTAAAAAATGCATCAGAATAATTTTTACATCCATTACWTGGCTACTGCTAAACTCTCCATTTATGGATGTTCATATGATCCTATTTRCAGGCTGTCCTGTCTCAGCTGAGGACATGCTGGCTTCGTCTTGTTGTGGAACAGAGGAGAAGGCACTGAGATGCCTGACTCCTTCAAGGGACCCTGCAAAACACCTTTTTTTTATGAGTTTCAGGCTCAGTCTGGGTTTTTTATGGACCTTTTCAGATGAGCATTGGTTCAGCACTGAGAAATGCCATGAAGCAGCTACTTATAAATCTAGTTTTGTTATGTATGACCCAAGTTACAGATTCCAGCATGGACGGATGGATGGATGGATGGATGGATGGATGGATGGATGGATGGATGGATGGATGGATGGATGGATGGATGGATGGATGGATAGCATATCTCAAAATCAAATGCTGTCAATTGGAACAGGTGTACATCAGAATATTTTCCAAGCAGCCGTTTTCAGGCTGAGGAAAAGCACCAGGGTGTTTTGAGGGATTTTCCTCTTCTTTTTTTTTTTTCAGATATTAATTTATTAAGATAGAATCTTGCAGTGTCCGAACAAGGAGGCTCTTCTGTTGTTGTCATTTATAACAACAAAGAGACATTAACAGAAAGAAATGCTTCTTYATTTATGTTTACGGAAGTCAGCAGAAGAAAATGGACAGCAATACAAATGCTGTGGCTGAAATTAAATAAGTCTCAGTAGAACAAATTGAACACTGTTTGCCTGCTTAAATCTTGTTCTTTGCCTGATTGAGTAGGAAGAGTCTCTTGTTTTCCATCTGTGCTTAGCTCTGGTGCTGCACAAACATTCGGGGGACCTCTTGGTACTGGAAGGGGGCMGTTGTGCTGCTTTGATGGATTGGCTATGTCCAGTGTTGGAACAAGGCTGTGGTTTGGATTGGCAGGTCTGATAGCTCTTTGGCTGTGTTTTTATTATTCTCTCCTCCCCTTTAAAACAGCCACTATCATTATAGACGGCTACAGCAAAAACATGTCATTCTTCAGATGAATAAACATAAGTTGTGTTAAAAATCAGCTTTGCTTTAAGGARGCATTGATCAGTAGGGTGGRCACYTCAACTAATCTGRTTCCTTTGTGTTGTTTTGYTTTTCTTTTTTGTTTTGAAGTGCATTTACTGTGTTAAAAACTGACTAAGAAGCAATACCTTAGAGAGCAATATTCTCAGAAGAAAAGCTGCCACATTTAAACAAGCCTGTGAAATACATGAATTAAAGGGAAAATTTAAATACTTTCAGTCACAGTGACAGCAGAAACTGAAAATATTGWGATTCTTTTTCAGATCAAAAGAAAAAAAAAAAGGCCATATGTTATGCAATGCATAATTCAGCTTTAAATTCAGTGTGTATTCCTTGGGAAGTTGTCAGTTAGGGTGAGATCTTTAGGAGTGACCTAGTAAGCTGCTACAGTTTCCATGTTCCATAAGAAAAACAAAACAGACTGAAAAAAAAGAGTAAGATATTATGGGAACAGCAAGAGACAGGATTCCTCAAGTTATTCCTGCCTGCTTACCAGTGTGCTGGAAGATTTGTAGATATTGGGGCTAAAAAGGATGTTAAAATCTAGTCTGACTTGCTGTAAATCACAGGCCACAAACTGTTCTCCMTCTACCCTTAATTCCATATATACTTTGCAAAAAATTAAGTTCTGACTTAAACATATGCAAGTTGATGAGATCAGTCCTAACCAATCTTCTTTTGTCTCCTTCAGTGTTTCATCCCATGATTAGCCATATCTACTGAATACAGATTTTTTAAAAATTAAAATATATTTTAATTTAGATACATTTTTAAACAAACTGCAGGTGTGTGAGATAGCAGTCCTGGTTTTGCTCCCTTGTGCTGGTTCTTAGTTACTGCAGTGCTGTTCTAATTTAACAGCCAAGGACTTGAAAACTTCTACCGTGGCTGCTGTGAACCTGCTCTCACACTCCTCTCAGCCTCACCACTGATGCCTGCCTTTTTTCTCCCTGTACAGAAAATCCTGACCATGATCCCAACTGAGGAGGAAAAGCAGAAGATCCAGGAGGCACAGCTGGCAAATCCCGATGTTCCCCTGGGCAGTGCTGAGCAGTTCCTTCTCACCCTCTCCTCCATCAGCGAACTCTCCGCCAGGCTCCAGCTCTGGGCTTTCAAGATGGACTATGAGATAGTGGAAAAGGTRAGGGAAAGCAGGGAGATGGGTGGAGGCTCTTCTGAGGATTTGCTTAATCTTTCCCTGACCTTGGTATTATATGGACATTTTGAGGAAATGGTAAATGGGTCGCTTTTGTTTTGGTGGCCAAGAAGGAAACAGCTAAAATGATCCTTCATAATCTGTTCCTTCTAGAAAAGAAAATTAAGAGATTATGTCTTCCTTCCTTTAATTAGCCAGTAATGATATTGAAACAAAGAAGAGGTTTAAATCTTTGTCACATATTCTCCAGATGTTATTACTCAGGAAATTCTTACTTCAGAGCCATGAGAATTTTTCTTTGGTAAAGATTGAGTGAGCACTACTGTATTCAGTCCTATACCATGAGAGTATTGATCTTATATCCATTTGAACTAAGGAAAACACCATCCATTAAAGTTTTTTTGTTTTTAACTCTTAAAATTCTAAACAAAAGATAAGACAGTTCAGCTCAGTCACAGACAGTTGTTGCCACCTTCTCCATGGATGGCATTTGTTCAAAGAACACTGTAATTAGAGTGTCTGTCAAGAATGATGAATCACAGGCAAAAATTTTATAAAAAGAAGTTGGAATTTTATTGCATAGATGGAACAGAATGAAATTGTAGGGGATTTCAGGTACTTGCTGCCTTTCACGAGGTCTTTCAGGAATCTCTGCCCAGAGATTCGTTCTGGTGTATACCCCAGGCATTGCCCATRAAGCAGCTCTGTCCTCTATATATTACTTTGGTATGTGTATCTGTGCACATGGGTATGTATTGAAAAATCAGTATAAGTTTGTGTGACATGGATTCTAAATGCTTTTGAAAATGCCTTCTGTTTACCTAGCAATAGTTATTTAATGAATTGTACAACAGTGGATTGATTTTCAGATGATTACTCAGATTATTCAACCTTTACCTAATTTTCTTAGTTTTTAGGAAATGCAATCACACTAATACTCAGAATTTTTAATTTGAATGTTTTAATCTTAGCCATTTACATTTCTGACTTGTATAGCAAAATACTTGTATCTGGCATGAATAYTTTTTGCCAGTTTGTTGGAGTTTTTTCAGTCTGGTACAGCTATTTATTTTGCTTTGAAGTTGCCACAAGGCTAAATTGTACCTTTCACATATGCTGAATTAGCTGTAGCTRTTAATCTCTACATATACCTAGAATTTCTAGTGTCCTCTCAATCAAAAAGCAACATCTGAAGCACTGCTAAAAGCTAAAGAAATTCTGATAGGTTTCCTGATGCTTTCCCACAAAGTTAATTTATTGCCAGCTAAAATCCATGTAGAATGGATGCTCGTACAAAATGTCTCAGATACTTAAACTACTCAAAGAAGCAATAGCTGTAGTGAAGATAAAACCAACATTTTTATCCCTGTTTGAGGGTAGATAGGACTAAGCACAGTACTTAGCCTAAAATGGTAGAGGAAGTAACGTGATAACTGTGATGAAATAAGAGGAGCATTTGATAAGCTTAACAGACAGGCACAGATAGGACAGAGAGCTTGGGTATTAACTGGTGAGGAGGAAGGAATGGGATCAGACATCAGGGATACAAGAGAGAGTAGTGAGCATCTGGGTGGCTCCAGCAAGAAAAGGTTTAGGTCAGATTTTAAGTTCCAGGTAACCAGTAAACATACATGTTATTTAGACTGAGGTAAGATACTGTGAGCATATTCAATTTAAAAAAAAAAAAATTAAGTCGTTTGCATTAATGATTATGGTCATAAAAGAGTCCTATGAGCTGCTACCATTCTTCTGTTCTTGGAACTATGTTTTTGCAGAAGATTCATATGCAAAAGGACAAACTCTTCATAAAACCTCTGTCCCAGAATCACTTAGAACCAGTTGTTAACATTTTTTAAGTCTGGCATTTTCTTGATCTTTTCTTTTTAAATCTTATTTTGTAGCAAGGCAAATTCGCAGCAGTTCAGAGTACACTCATATTATTTACAAAGTCACACATATATTTATGTAAGATATGAATGCTATTATTTCCATAAGGCTGGAAGCTTTATATRGTCCTTTATATCAACAGTGTGAAATACCTGAGTTATTGGTAAAACCAGGTTTCTTATAAATGAGACTCTTCTGCTAGCTTGCCAAGAACAGAATTTTGCCTAAGTAGATCTTAGCTGTATCTCTGACAACCTGAAAAAAAAGAAGGTGAATTGTTTGAAAAATGGGTTAAGTGGTATATTGTTTATGTTCATGAGAAGCTTGACAGRCTCAATGAGAGAAATCATCTGTTTTAGCTTGAATTTAATTAACTAAAGCAAGTCAGGGTACATTTGTAAGGAGTATCCTTAGACTGAGGGACTGAACTGGATGAATGCTCACTCTTCACTCTCCATAGAAAACAAAAAAAAAGAAAAAATCTTTTCCAAATTATTTTCTTGATAATGTGTGTACTGTTTTGAAATCTTAACTTAAATGCCTACTGAAAGTCATGAGTGGAACAATAATTTTTCTCACCTTTCATTGGGTAACATAGTTAAATGGCATAGAGAAAAGAGATTAAAAAAATTTACACTGTGTTACTACTCATTCCTTATGTGAAACTATTTATGATGCAGATGTGGCTCAAATTTTATTATCTCAAAGGGAATTTAAAGGTCTTCAAAAAAGGAATAGAAACTTGTATTTTCCTGAATAAGATTATTTCTTTATTAAGATCACTGCAGGCAAATATATCCTTATTGCTGACAATTTTAAAAGAACAAAAAATAATATAAGCAGGTGTAGTAATGAAAAAAAAACTAGGATTGAGTGGGATTGATAGGTTGAGTTCATTTGTGCATATGCATCAAACATTTATCATGCATTATCAGACATCTCACAGACAGGARTTCTGGACCAATCCTCAAATTTCATTCAAACCTAATTTTTAGCTGAAAAATTAAAGTGTGGTATCCGAGGATGTGAGGTAGCTCTGCCTTATCTATCTGCCCTCTTTAGACAGAAGGTTTTATAGGAGGCAAGAATAGGTAAATTTGCAAAAATGAAAAATTGATCTGATTATTCAGTTTTAATTTAATGCATCTTCCATCCACACATGTTATCTGAGCACAGATATTCATACTGATAAGGCCTGAAATCATAAATTCTGTTCCATTACCTCAGCAAGTGAACTACACCAGAGAGTTCAAACGAAGAGAGTGAGGGAAAAAAAAAAAAAAAAGATGCACACTCTTTTTTATTGTTTTTTAATCCTAAAATAAAATAAGAAATAAAGAGTAATTACAAATGTTTACTATATGCAAGAAATATAAGCTCAGATAACTTGTCKGTAAATAGCCAAATGACCTGGTTTAGAAGCCTTTTATGCCACCTTTTTGTTCACCTTGAGAATGTTTTAAATTAATCTTTTAGGAATGTTTTTTTGACAGGTCGAAAATTGATCCAAGTGAAATAGTTCAGAAGCCCATGTTTACCACAGATGCAGAGCAGTTTGATTCATGCCATAATGCATCAAAACAAACTAAATCAACCCTGACTTTAAAGCAACTCAAAGAATACTCTGCAGCAGTTTCTTGATTTTAGTTCAATGATAAAGTCCTGGATTATTTAGCACCTCTCCTCTGATGTATTAACAACTTAGCTCACAACCTCATCTCTTAATTTGTCTTAARTTTTCTTTTCAAGAGACAAATTGTTCTGTAGTGACTAGAAATGTGTTTCATTTATCTTTTATGGTAAAATATCATTACAGTTGTAGAAGGAACTATTGTATGTCTCCAAGAAAGTTAAGTTCTGAGTTAYTTTTCCTCTTGGTCTAAAATAGCAGCTTAATTTTGGCTTCTTGGCTCATAAAGAGTCTAACAATTTGGGAAATTAGGTAAAAAAGTCTCCCTGCCCATGGCGGTGGGGGTTGGAACTAGATGATCTTCAGGTCTTTTCCAACACAAACCATTCTATGATTCTGTGAAAAGAATGCTGCTCACAGATGCTTAGAATGGCATTTGAAGATAGAAACAATGTGAACTGTTACTGTGCATACAAAATAAATAACCCTGGGCCTCACACAGAGACATAGAAATAAGCTCTGTCAACTCAATTACCCTCACTCTCTTCCTTTGAACTCTTTGGTGTAGTTCACTTCCTGAGGTAATGGAACAGAATTTATGATTTCAGGCCTTATCAGTATGCATATCTATACTCAGATAACATGTGTGGATGGAAGATGCATTAAATTAAAACATTAAAATGAGACTATTTGTAAAGCTTGATGTTTACAGCAGACATTTTTTTTCAGTTTTAAATTTTCACAAGCACCAAATCGTATCTAAAACACTAAAGTGTCCATCATTTAAAGAATGCTGTAGGCTCAAGCTACAAATGTCAAGTCAGAAAGGTTTCTAACCTTTTACATTTGTTTTTCAAAGATTAGAAAAAAAGTACTGTTAAGAAGCTTTTTGATCATTTGGAGCATGAGGGTGTTCATGCATCTAACTGAAATGCAGCGGTATTCTCCTGTTTGGAATCACAAGACAATCCTCAGGACAGCTAAGGCAGTTGCATACATAAAAGAACAACAGTAGGAAAATATTTTATGGATTTTTTGCTGTCTTGCATGTGATTTATTAGCTGGAACATGGAAGAAAGCCAGCGCACATGGCCAGTTTACACTCTGCGAGACGCCAGTTCAGGAACTTTTTGCAGTAATCAATCTAAACCATAGGATTAAAAACTAACCTTCACTTTTGTGTTTCTTTTCTTATGGTAGGAAGTTGCAGAACCACTGCTAGACCTGAAGGAAGGAATGGACCAACTGGAGCACAATAAAACCTTGGGATTTATTCTTTCTACTCTACTGGCCATTGGGAACTTTCTGAACGGAACCAACGTAAGCCTGATGTCCCAGCATTTCCCCTTCAGCTTTTTCCTTCAAAAAAAGCAGAAGTCAAAACCATTATGAGAATTGCAACTCGCTATTTATTTTGTACCAGAAAAGTAATTTAGGGAAGAGAACYTGCTTTTTATTGTGTGTGAGGGTGCTCTTTGCCTCTTTCAGCATAACCTGGAGGAAATACAGAGCTAAGCGCTCTTYTAGGGTAACTCCCTTGAGTGTAGTGTTGGTGCGTCCCATTCCAGTTGTGAGAACTGTGTCATGTGTCATTTTACTGCAGATGGACTCATTTTAGGCTTGGTCTTCAGCAAGTTAAAAATTAATAAAAGCAATAAGTTTCCTCTCTTGCAGGATTCTTTTTCTTTCCCCTCTGCCCCTTCTTGGTCATCATTTCTGCCTACTAATCTGCATGGGAAGGAGTAAGCATTTTTATTTTTAATTTCTTCCCTTTTTTTCCCTTTACAGGCCAAAGCTTTTGAGTTGAGCTACCTCGAGAAGGTTCCAGAAGTCAAGGACACAGTGCACAAACAGTCCCTCCTGCACCACGTTTGCACTATGGTGGTAGAAAAGTTCCCAGACAGCACTGATCTTTATTCAGAGATCGGGGCCATCACTAGGTCAGCCAAGGTATGTCTAGTAGGTAAATCTAGGTGGACATTTTTATAACTTGTCTTTGAGGACAAATATTTAAGATTTTTTTCTATTCTTTGATTGTTTGTTCCTTCCTGGATGCAGCACTATTTATGAATGTGTGTTCAKTGTGTCGTTTGCACTGTACGATGCATACATTGTAAGATGCCAGTACTCCCTCTTCTGAATTTTATTTTTGTCTGTCAGGTTGTTCYCTCATCAGTGCTCTCTTAGGCAGCMACTAATTATGAAAGCCATTTTAATGTAATTTACTATTAGGATGTAATGTATGTACTGTAATGTATGTAACTATTAGGAGCTATTTTCAATTTAAAACTTTGTKTGACCAGTACATCCAAATATATTAATTCTATGGTTTGAAGGAATCTCCTTTTTAAGGCAGATGCCTAGCTGAATTTTAAATCTAATGGAAGGAATTAATCTTTTACTAGTAAAATTGTTTCCAGAATTAAAGTGTCCTTGAAACACTTGGTTTAACTCACAGAATCACAGGTTGGGGTTGGACAGGACCTCAGCATCACTTAATCCAACCCCCCACTAAAGCAGGTTCACCTAGAGCACGTTGCAGAAGAACAAGTCCAGGTGGGTTTTGAATATCTCCAGAGGAGGTGATTTCATGGCCTCTTTGTGCAACCAGTTCCAGTGCTCTGTCACCCTCAAAGTAATCTACATTTCAGTACTCCTTTTCTGTCCTCCTCCTGAAAATAATGTTGATGGTTAGGAGTCAGTGAACATGAGTAGAAACAAAGGAAACTTGTGGCAGCCCCTCTTGTCAAGAAATGGTAATCTCCTGGTTAATGCATAACTCTGGTCAGTGGCTCAATGTGGTACAGAGATTATTTCCTACTGCTGCCAGCAGGGATGGTAAAAACACTGCAAACTCCCTYTTGAATCTCTTGGAGTGTGAGGTTTCATGAATAACTCTTAAGAACCRTCCAGTGCTTGAGTAATGTAGTAAACATGGGAGATAGCCACTACAAAGATTCTGCCCAAGAGTCATGTCTCGTGTGGAACTGGTAATAATTAGAGCAGAYAATTATAGCATCCATCTAGTCCAATATCTTGATTCAGACAGTGGCCAATATCAGCTGCTTGTAAAAAGAGCACAAGAAGTTTCTAAGGCGATGAAAGATTTCCCCTAGAAAAATGTTATTTCATGAGCCATAATTCTCATGTGCATCAAATAGAAGAATGATTTCTTTTCCAAAGGTCTCCTTAGTTGGATATTGAGAGAGGAGCTGGAGGAGATGGGGGCAAACAACCCTGTATAATGCAACTTATTTTTTTAAATTGCAAAATGAAATCTTTTTTTGGCTCCTAGTTCAGTTCTTGTGACAATGGATTCATAAKCTAATTTTTTCTGCTGTTCGACTTGCCAGTTTCAGGATTTACTGCCTGAATATACTGAACACTTAAAATATTATTTTCTGTTCAACAGAATGACTTAGGTTGACTAAGGCTTAGGTAAGACTAAGGCTTACACAGGGGAGCCTGTAGGTTGGAAAGGAACCCTGAAGGTTATCTGATCCATCACCCTTTTCAATGCAAGACCAAATTAAACTAGGCTGCTCAGATCTTTGTCTAAGTCTCAAATTATCCTTTTATATCTTTTTTTATGAAACCATTTCCACACTTTTCATCCATCTTACTTTTTTAGAATGTGTTAAACAACAGTAAGCACAGTATTCCAGTCTCTCCTTATAAATGTTACCTCTTACTCTGATTGTTCTGCTCCTGCTACCTTTTGTTAGATGTCCTGAGGTTTCCTTTGTGTTCTTTGACTGCTGCTATCCTTTGGACACCCATTGTCCCAGGGGAGTTCACAAGGACATCCAGGCAGGCTCCTGAGCTGGTGGAGCATCCAAAACTCAGCTGGAAGCACAAAGGAGTCGTGCTCTTCATTGTGCACTGTGCACTTCATTGCAATCTACAGCAGAGAACAAGATCTGCTGAAGATTTACTGCTTATCTCTCAAACCCCTAATAMTGTTCAGTCAGGACTAATCTGAATAATTTCCTGCCATCTGGTTTTGCCCTCTGGATGTGCTTCCTTGTTTCCAGATAATTTTGAAATACAAAGTACAAACCATGAGACACCTGCTGTTAACCCTGTCTACAAATGAGAATCAATGTGTGTTCCTTCTTTTCTTTTGCCCTCTTAACCTCAGACTTCATAGGTGGCCTCCCATGATGCTCTTGAAAAGATCATGAAATCTAATTTTCTTTACTTACTCTTATCTATTCACTATTTTATAAACATTCAGAATACAGTGGGGGTTTTTATGTATTAAATTTCTTGTCACTCATTCTTTCAGCCAGGTTACCAGATGAAGTAGCAAAACCTCGACATCTGCATCAACTTTGCTGTTTTTCTAGGGATAGGTCAAACTTCTGCCTTCCTTTGATTCTCTAAGTTATCAAGTGCAGTTTAATGCATATTTGTACTCATTTTAGCCAGTGGGTCAATTTCTTTATTTTAATTGATGTCAGAATTATTGAACTCCACTTGTTTGCTGCTTTGTAAAATACCATGTCTCTCCAATGTGTTTCTGCTAGAAAGTTTTCAAACCTTGCTATTAGTTCACATCTATTACAAATATAATACAGAAAAATGAAAGGAGGTACCAGAGTAGGTTTCCCRCAACATCCTCTGTGGTGAAGTTAGATGAAAATAAGTCATCTTGCTTCCCTTCTCTATTTTTTGTCTTCCTAAGTTTCTTTCATCCACAGTGATCCAGGGCCTCCTACATATTTTCTTTTTTCTRTATACCATAAAGGAATTTGTGGTTTTTGTTTTATATCCTTAGATATTTTCTCTTTAGATTCCATCTCTTTTCTSCTAGTTTTCCTCTTGTACAACCTATGTTTAGGATCTGGTTTATTGCCTTYAGTGAGTTTTGTTTCTCATCTTTGGAAGATTTTCACTTTGTCTTATGCTTTTGTTTTTGTTTTTAATTTGAGTGATTCTACTTTATTAACMCTTAGGTATATTGGTTTCTCATTTCCTGCTTCTTCTCTTCGTTAAGAAGTTATTTCCCTCTTTTCTTAGATTKGGATCAAGTTAATCACTAAAAAGAAAAATTGCCACAAAAGAGAAGAGCCTTTTTTTTTCCAAAATCCTAACCACTATACATGGTGTACCTTCGAGTGGATCTTCTATTTTGCAGTCATAAAAAGTGGAAGAAAGCTTAGTATACTGCTATCACAAAAAAATGTAGGTCTAAGAGCGTGCAAAATTGAGCACAGTCTTTCAGTCTGTGGTTTGCTGATCCAGTGGCCCTGCCCAAAGCGGACAAAAATCTAAAAAGGCCAGACAAAATCACATTAAGAGAAATTATAGCTTTAACCTTCCGTGTGTCGCCCAAGGTCTCCCTCCTTGGGATGTTCCTGCATGTGTTAAACCACTGATGGATTACTGTAACAAGCTCTATTCCCTCTTGATCGTAGCTGCCACAAATCAAAGAGTTAGGACATGGAAACCATCCAAGCTGCCCTCTTCAAGGGAATGTTCACAGACAAGGCGAAATCTTGGTTTAGGAAAACTGACAGGAAAGGAGAACTAATATTTCACTGTGGATTAGGCTGTATTTTGAGCTCCACTTTGCCTGCAAATATCTTTTAAGAAACCACAAAGGCTAAACAATTTCCATCCGGTAGATAAACAGAGATGCCCCTTCCCCTGAAATGAGCATCACATAAGAATTTCCTGAGCCTTAGTTCATGAAAAAAATCCAAAAGCGTAAAGAAAACAGGCTGCCTCACCAAAAAGAAGTTAGAAAGAACAGACAGAAAATGGTATAGTTATTGCAAAACTTGTGGCTTTTTACTGAAGGACTGAAGTCATAAATGAAGCAGAAAAAACCAAATACAAGTGAAAAAAATGAAGAAAAATGAGAATTGAAGATAAATGAAAGCATTTATAAAATCATGCGCAGCACTAATTATTTAGTATCCCATGATTAAAATCACTTGCCCTTTTTATTTTCTTACATATTTTAACTTGTTTTTTTTTTCACTGAAGTTGTGCCAGATTGATGTACCTAATACCAAAGCAGACCCTCATAATTCTGCAGTTAAACTCAGTGTTGTTCCTAGAAATTTCTTTAAGGAGGGGTTGCCTCAGCCCCAGTATCTTCWCTGTTAGTGAATAAAAACTGTGTCCTTATTAAAAATGTTCCTCTTCTCTCTCTAACCCATAAATATTTCCCCTTTGCTTCTGAAAGCTGGCCAGCTCTGTAAACTATAATTGTCATTTTCTTCCCCTGATTTTAATTTACTTACAAGATGTCAAACTTCTGYCTGGTTTTTAACCCCTGCAGCAAAACACTTGGATTAGTTGCAGATAGCAGGCAGTGGAGAAGCAGGCAGCRTTTAAAAGTGAGAAATAGGAAATGTTAGCAACACAGGAGAGGGTAAGGATTGCTGATAGGAGAGAACTTAGGATGAGACTAAGGCTTACACAGGGGAGCCTGCAGCTGCCTGCCCTCCTAGGAACTTGGCAGTGGGGCATGAGGAGAAAAGAGCTGGCTGGAACAGAACTGGCTTTTGACATGCTATAGCTTCTGCCTGATACATTTGAAAGCAGAGAAATATTTTTTTTAAAAAAAATTAAAAGGTAGGGAAGCTCATGCTGTCTCCTGCCCTCTTTCAGAGGGGTTTCTTGTGTCTCGCTTGGCAGAAAGTATTTGTGTGCAGTTATCATTCAAGTATGTTTTCCCTGTGTTATTTCAAACAAAAATAAATGCCAAAAGTCAAATTATTTTCCATGGGAAAAAAAGAAGTCCAGGAATGCAAGGTTCCTTGCAGTCATTCCTTGTGATGCCAGCAGCTGCCCCACATSCTGGCATGGGCTAGCAGGAGCAGAGGTGAAAGCAGAGCAGGGAAAGGCAGATCTTGTTGGCTGCAGGGCATACTGGGGCAAGGGGGAAGGAGCTTCCATGGCAAATGAGACTGTGAGGTTTTGTCTCAGAGAGAGCA